CGAGGGAAGGGGGCTATGCACCTCAGGTTTCCTTCCGTGCTTTCAAATTTGCTTCGAAGGACGTGCAAATGAGGCTGTCAAACCGACAAGGCTGAGCCTAGCCCGGACCTGAGGACACCAGCCATAGCGTCCCCAACAAGCCACGGCGCGTATTGCATGTGTCTAGAGTGGATTGATATCCAATTATCCATGACTGTTTTTGAAAATATAAAATTAAAGCAAAAACATACAACAGAAGGGATTCGCTGGTGGTCACCCACCCAACTACTAACCTCCCGGCGTGTGGCTTAAGTACGGCTGAGCGGACGGGAAGCCCTGTTTTCCACACCCTGTGGTCGTATGTGCTAGTCAACTGACTTACGCAAGACTATTCATCCAATTGATTATGTACGGCCTATCTCAATGAGGACACTCGAAAAGATGGACCGTGGATGCGCAGGGTCCATTTGTCATTTGAAATGCGACACCCCCTTGATAAACCACTAAGCTCCCACATGAGTATACAAAGCCCAAGCCAATGGATTCTGCCAGTACTGGCTTCTAATCCGCAGTGTCGCATCGCGAACCGCCTCCGCCACCGCGCGGTTTGGATCAGTGGCCGTGGCACGTCGCGTAATCAGCGCCTCGTAGAAGTATGTGGCCATGTGCACACAAACCTCGTCCTCTGCCGGCCACAGAGACCCAATGACATGCGAAAAGCCCGCGATCAGGAAACCACTGGTAATGTGCAGCCCCTCGTCCAGCAGCCTTCTGTCGCGGATCTCGGCCGTGGAGCAGGCGGACAGATAGGCAATCCACGCCCGTGACATCGCGTGCGTGTCCAGAAGCTTGGAGACAGTGAGCTTGTCGACAACCAGACCAGACTCACTTTGCCTTTGCAGAAGCAGATGGCTGTCGGCCGGATCGCCAGGGTCGGAGTACCCGTGGCAGGCGAAGTGCACAAGCTCTGATTCCTGCAGCTGAGAAAGGACCTCGTCGGTGAAGGGACTAATCAGTTGCTTGACGTCCATAGCTCTACCCACAGCGTCGATAATACCCTGGGCTTCGTGGCGAACCCCGTGCAGCGCACCATGGCCGGGAGTCTCCGGCATGGTGGCGACAAGTAGAGAGGGTCTCTCCATCGTCGTCCGGCGTGATGACTGTTGCGCCGTCGCCTTGGCACGCACGGCATGGAGGGCCTTGATGGTCGGCGTGTACGAGGAAATTACGTGGTCGAGACAGCTCTCGCCGTCGAGTCCCGGACCCTGGCTATAGTCTCCGGCGGCATGGAAAGGCAGCCCACCGGCAGCCCCGGTGCCAATCCACCAGACCCGACTCTTCTCTTCTCCGGTAGAGATATGCCCATCAGAGGCCAGAGAGCTCAGAATAGGCTTCACGCATGTATACCACAGCCAGGAGAGGAGATCATTGTCATATGCCTCCGGGGGTAAGTCGCTCTCCAGGTCCCTTGCACTGGAGCCTTTTTCGCAGGACCAGGAATCGCCATGCAACCCAGCCATTTCGCGTCTCATGAGGCGTTCGCGGAACTTGTCCACCGCCCGAGTAATCATGGTATCCAGTCTGTGATGGCCGACTATGCTCGGCGAGAGGACAAATATGGCATCGGCATTGGTGCACGTGATATTGACGACGATGATCGGGCCCTCGCGGGCACAGTCGACTAGCTGACGGATGTTCATGGGCTGGAGAAATCCTTCGAAGCCGGTTTTCGTTCGAATCCGTCGCTCACACTGCTGCAGCTCCTGGAAAACGCTGCGGCGCTCATTCAGTAGCCGAGTCTGCCGCGTCTCCCATGCGTCGCGCTTCAGGCTGTCGAAGGCCTGGTGACGCAGCATGTCGTATTGCTGAGCTAGGTCTGGATGCGCTTGCTGTAGATCTGAAAGATCGCCCTGACTGTTAAACAGATCTCCCATCACGATCCCTCGACCGACCTCCAGTTTCAGCAGCGCCTCCATGGGTGGTTTCAACATTAGGATTGCAGCAGAGACTTCGCTGGCGAAAGTGGAGATTCCTTGCAAGGTGTAGATTTTGTCTTCATTGCTCAGTTCACGGCCGGTGATCAGAGGCAGCAATGGGAAGATCCGTTCTGCGGTTTCCAAGGCCAGTTCCCAGTTTCCCCAGTGGTTGGCATTATAAACAATTCTCACAGCGCTTAACACACGCTCGCTCGGTAGGGATCTGTCCGAGGCAGCGCTTTGTATGAGATAGCGCATACCCCTGCCGGTAGCCGTACCATCACTGACCCGGGTCTCGGAGGGCTTTGCCAGCCACATCTCCCCACTCCAGCAAAGCATATCTCTACTCCCGCCTGCCCGAAGACTGTCAGTCTGTGAACTCCCCTCCAGTGACCTAAGGGCATGCTCAAGATCGGCGGGGTGATTGGTGAACTGATATAAATTCCAGTAGTGCCAAGTGATAAAATCGAGAAGGCTCCTCTTTGCAGGATTGCTGAAGCGCTCAAACCAAGTTCTGCGTAGGGCGTCACATTTCTCGGCGGCAGTCCTCAGCAAAGCTTCTCTTTGATGGGGCTCGAGTGGCAACATGGCCAGAAATTCAGCCTTCATGACGACGACCCGATCGCGAACTAGGCTGTTGGGCGGAGCTGCACGCAACGCCTTTTCCATCTGGTCGCAAGCAGCCACCAGCTCCGCAGTATTCGTACTTCTTAGCCCCCTCTTTCTATGCATGTGACCTAGATGCTCATACGCCTCCGCAGACCACTCGCTAACGTCGTTGGCAGGTAATGTCGACACATGGTCTTTTGCCCTAGCAAGCGCCAATTCGAGATCTTTGGTATCTCCCGTTCGCTCCCATCGCGCGTAGTACTGCTTAGACAAGAGTTTGAGCAAGGTTTGATATCTTCGAGGGTGAGCTGGGGTGGGGCTGAGAGCATCTTCCATCTGTCTCAGTACCATATCGCGCTCCTCACTGCTGCTCGTCTCATCATACTCCATCCGCTGACCTCCGTAGATGGCTCTCTCCACGGAACCGGCAGGAAAGGTAGATTGAAGTTCCTTATATAGCTCGCACAATTTCTTGAGGTCACCCTCACTGCCTGTCTCTCGATAATGTGATAGGTATGCATTGGCGAAACTTTGCAAGTACCCTTGACGCTGAGAGAAACTCAGAGGAAGGGGAACTACCTTTTCAAGCTCGATGATGGCTAGATCGAGATCCGCGCGATCATGGAAACCCCTCCATCGGTCGAGCAGGGCTAACACAAGACGTGCTCGATAAACCCGATTTTCAGTTTCCATCTCCATTGCTAGGCGATGAAAATGGAGTGATTTCTCGATGTCCTCCTTTTTCGAATTCCTCCTGTAGCGGAACATGTAACCGAAACCAATACTTGAAAGCACATCAGGTTTGTGAGAATCATATGGAGACATATGTGCCAAGGCAGCCTCTAATCGAGATATCTGTTCATTTTCTTGTTCCTCGGCGATCATGCCGTCCTTGTCGCCGTCCTTGTCTGGTTCATTTCGCGTCGGAATCTGGTTAGAAGAAGTATTATCTCTTTCTACGGAATCCTTCTCTATGTCGGGAAGGGTGGATACCGCTCTGCCTGGGGTGCTATAACCCCGAGTACTGCGCCTTGCGAGAGGCTCGCCACATAGGACATTGACTATGTCGTTTATGACTTTTTGCCAGTCGATGTTCGCAATGTTATCTGTCCTCGTAGTCAACTCCTCCACATCGTTCGAGGGAAGTAGCGAATCTCTCTCCACAAGTTGTGGCAGACGGGCCGACTGCGCGCTGCCTAGCACACTTGCGCCGCCTTCAACTGCATCTTTGACACTGGGACTTACAGCGGTTGATATCATGATGCTAGCCTGGTTGACATAATTGACCCATCCAGGGAACTAGCAGCAGATCAGCACTATGCTCGATACTCTAACCCCATAATTGACATCATGCCTTTGTTCGCGCCCAGATAACCAGCCGATCGCCTTCCTCCAGCAGCGAAGCAAAAGATTCCCCCCTCTCACTGCCGTCCTTTTGGTAAATGAGCACCTGTTCGATCCAACTGCGACTCATGCTGGTTCTGAATAGCTCCATGCTAATTCTCGAGCTTGAGGCAGCAATCCCAGAGGGTATTTCCTTAAAGTATAGTCCTTGTTCTTGCAGGAGCTCGCCAAAGTCGTCCGGACATGGCTGGATATACGGCGGATTCATCAAATGACCCAGGTCAGGCATTGCATTCTCCTGCCACGAGCCCAGTATGGAGACCTCGAACCAGGACCAAAGGCCATCTTGAGGGTTGAGGCACCATCCTTGATTGCGAGTTGTGATATCAAACAGAACGGTAGTGACGTTGCTTGGCAGTGGAGAGGAGACAAGGTAAAGCATAGTGCAACTCTGGTCAGAAGTATGATATCGGTGCCAGGGTGGCACAACAGACAGCTGCTTTTTAGTGCCGCTGATCTGAAGATTTGCGAGATCGGATGAAAGACTCATTTTTAGAAGTCACGAATACTATTAAGCTGAATGTAGGGTTGCTAGAAAGTCTGCAAAAGACTTCGGCCGGCCCTTTAATGAGGCTACCACGTGACGTGACTTGCCTTCTCACTCTTCACTTGCTTATGTTCATCTAAATCACTACCTGCACACGAAAATGCCGATAGTCTATCTCTAGTGTGGCTGAGCCTGTCAGAATCATCTGCAACTTGTCACGAGGCTCAACCACTAGCAGGTTTCTGTCAAAATTGCACGTCTGGTGCATGAAGCCGTCAGCATAGCCGCCCGGCTAGTGTCTTACTAGCCACCCTAAGTGCCAGATAGCACACGATATTGACCAATCAGTCTGTGTACGCATGTTTGCTTTTCTTTATTTTTGGGGCACCAGAAGCAGGGATCTCAGCCACTGATGATGACATCGCAACTGCTGGTCAGTCACAGCACGAAATCACACCGCGCAGCCTCGACTCCCTCTCAACATATTCCCAACTCACCCGCGCATAATCTGAGCTCTAAGTCCGCACCATTCGAATTGGAAACTATCTACAATCCTTGAATCTCTCCTGGCCGATGATGAACCCGACAAGGAGAGCCCTGATTATTACCAGCCCCTGGGGAGACCTTCGAGGCACTCAAAATGACGGAGACTGCATGCAGTTGGTGCTAGCCAAGTATGGCTTCCAGGTCGCTCATTGTCACGGTGCCCAGGCCACCCGTACCGGCATTCTAGAGGCATGGAAGCAGCTCATCTCGGAGACGGGGGATGGGGACTCCGTTGCCATTTACTACTCGGGACATGGGGGTCTCGTGGAATCGGCACCCAGCACTGAAGATGCAAGGGAGTGGCGTTACCAGTTTCTCGTCCCCGTGGACTTCGACGATGTCAATTCAAGTGGTTTTAATGGAATCCTTGACGTGGAACTGTCGCAACTACTCCGTGCGACCACCGCGCGCACCCGGAACGTGACCGTCATTCTCGACTGCTGTTTCTCGGGGCGAATGGTTCGAGCACCCGGGTATGGGGACGCAGCAAGGCCCAAGCAGGTGCCTTCCGTACGCTATGAGGATGTTGTCGACTTCCTGACGCACTATGTCGAGCGTGCTACGGAGGAGATGGGAGAACCCACCAGCATAGGGGATGACAACCCGGATGCGGTCCGTATAGTCGCAGCTGCTCCTTCCGAAACAGCCTGGGAGGTTCGAGGAGAGGATGGAAGGTGGATGGGCTCTTTTACCTCGGCGCTTGCTCAAGTTCTAAACGAGGCACATGATCATCAACTGTCTTGGCGAACGAGCATCTTACGAGTCCAGGAACTGGTCCAGGCACAGTTTCCGACCCAGCATCCGCGGGTGGAGGGTCCACATACCCGCATCCACTTTTTGCTTGACCAGGTCAACTCAGAAATCATTCACCTGAGGATTGAGAATGGGCTACCTGTGCTTCAAGCTGGTTTTGTCGCTCATGTATCAGAAGGTGATGTGTATGCCGTGACGCGCCTGAATTCGGAGCGGTTGAAGAAGGAACAGCAAATAGCTGTGTGTGAGGTTATCAACGTTCAAGCCTTTCAAGCTTTGGTGCGATTGCACTATCCAAGTACGACTCCAACGCAAGAGGTTCCGCGGGAGGGCGCTCTAGCTTTTTTGCAAAAGAGTGCGCAACATCGGTGGCCGATTTCAGTACCACCCTCTCTGTTGGAGTCACTTAGTGACAAGGTTCAGAAGTCACGCTTCCTCCGGCTTGCCGGCGAGAACGAACCAGGCACACCTCTGGTATCGATTTATCGCAGGGATAGCTTTATCGGTATTGAGTCCAAGCAAGGGATATCTCTTACAACTCGATACCTCAATTCCGAGAATCCCGCACAGATGGACTGTGCCTACCAGGCAGTTGTAGCAGAGGCTGATCGTTTCGCCTGTGCTCAGCGTCTCCTGGGTCTGCGCAACGATAGCCCTGGTGACCTGCTGGATCATCAAGTAGACGTCAAAGTCGGGCTGGTTGAGAATCATCAGCCTACAAGAAGATTTGCCGGAGCAGGGTGCGATGAGCTATACGAAGGCCAGAGGATCTACATAGCTCTTCGGAATCACGGCATGACTAAGACCTATATCACCGTACTCCACATCAATGCCCAAGGAAAGATATCCTTGATATCTCGATCCAGTCTGTTCGGAATTGAGCTTCCTCCTGGACGTTGTCATTGGATTCGCAAAACACTATTTGGTGTTCTGGAAGGTCTACAGATCTCCTGGCCGGCTGACGTACCTCGAGCTTCTCCTATCGATGAGCACCTGCTCTTTTTCATCACCAGCACTCCAGTTGACCTGCGGCCGATCACTGATACTCAACGCGGCCCTCAACGGACTGCTACCTCAAGCTTCGAACGCATCATATATAGGCTGTGTCGAGGCGAGCAGAGAGATCTGATGGAGGACGACGAGCCCAGCCAAACTGTTTACGATATTATTCACTTCCCGCTGACTGTGCTTGCACAGAATGGATCACCATCTCTCCGCACTACCTCTCAGGAGGTTCAGCATCAATCAGCTCACAGTACAAGCCATACCTCTCTCAATGGCAGACCGTCAATGCTTAGTGATGAACAAGAACTCCCAGCTCTGCCGCCACATCTCCATTCGGAGTCAAAGGTGAGTTTGCCTCCGCTCACTTGCACTGGCGTAGTCTAACAGAGAGTCCGCCAGAGCATCTTCGGCCAAGCTCTTCGGTCTATCAGAGGAGTTCCCGCTTGCGTATGGGTGATCAATGAGCACACCGAACCCATCACCGTGGTGGTCTCTCCATACCGGCCATCGCGTCTATGGACCGAGGCCGGCTTGAACGCCTCTACCACAGGCGTTGGCATTGACATCTCCACCGTGGTAAGTCTTTATTCTCTGATTGTTCACCTTTGGATCGAGTATGCCGGTTCTCATTGATCATCCCATCCATGAAGACATTCACGCCCCCCGCAACTCGGAAGACGCTGCCCGCCGCAGCCCCGGGTCAGCAGAAACCCCCCACAGCCGTGTTTCCGCTCTGGACCCGCCGGGATGGGTTTGGAGTCATCACCGTGTTGGTGGGTGCGACGACACCAACGTTGTATATCGAAAACGATCGCATCCCGATTGGGGCGACAGCTTACTTCCGGAATGAGCCGGACCTGCACGTTAGAGAGTACTCGACGCAGTAGGAAACATTGTGTGTCATGATAATCGCTCCAGTGTCGGTTGGCAATCTTAGTGGTCCATACAACTAGTAGTGCTAATTGTCATCAAAGAAGGCATAGAAGGATCCGAGCCTAAAAGGTTCCTATGCTTGTTGCCGGGGGACGTGAAGATGGTGGATCCCAGGTTATTTGGGAGGAATTATCTAAACGCGGCCGAAGTGAGAAATCAACGCTTGCTGTATATCTAATAGAAAAGTGTTCCCACACTTGGACAAACCCACTTAGTGCTTACGGATGAATTGATGCTGATTCTGTTGACCTTTCGTGGAACGAATGTATGTCCTATCATAGCTTTACATCCATCCGGGTTATATTGATACCACCTGAATGCCAAGGATAACTGCTACAACACCTAAAGGAACTATGGTGAAGGATTCCGAGAATTATGCTATCCGGTCCACTTAATACCCTTGAAGATTGTGACCCTGTTACCTGCCTGCGACTCGTACAAGACATTTGTTTGTCCGGGCAGAATTAGCATTCAATCCATTCATCCAACAACTATCAACCTCGGCCGCTAGAAAAAGATCGTTCTCTCTTGATCAGAGTACAGGGGCCGGTACAGTCGCCACGCACTGAGAAAACAGTTGTCTGTTGAATGTAGAACATTGGACATACTGATAAAAAGGAGAGATCCCCTTCATCAATGCTTAATGCTCGACAGTTATCTGCCCGGTGCAATGTACCCCATGAAGCCTGCAAGTGAATCGTGTATTTCATTATACCTTGAGCTACTTTCTGACATCGGCTGGTATCATGTGAAGATTCTGCGATGGTCTAACGCACGTCGTTCTAATAGAGCGAGATCAATGGTCTTCAACTGCCGCCCAACACGCCACCTCAGCTAGCCATTTAACAACGCCTTCCACATTTTCTGCACCCAAGGAAGTCCTGAAATCCGTCTGGATGCCGTTTGGCATGGGGGTGGCAGGGTGTACTCGGGTGGCTGGCTGAAGCCCCGGCCCAGCTGACCGTTAGTATGTATTGTCCGTGCTGTATGATATTCTTTACGGTATCTAGGTATTAGATAGGTACCTAGTACGCTCTCTTTCGTTACTCCAGAGACACGATTGGTCTGCTGCTTGCAGATTTCAAAGAGGGTGGGCTCCACGTGGACGTCTTGAGTTAGAGTCTTTGACTTCTTCTGGCTGATGTATGAATTAGAATTGGCGGAAGTATTTTGATCCTGTGGTGGACTTAAGTTATTTTTGATGCGTAATCTCAGCCACTTACTGCCACTCTTCCGTTCCATGCAGAGCGATGTAGGTCACGTTGTTCTAGTACGTGGACTTCCGATAGGGCTAGACAAGTTGGTCTCGCTCGTGGTTTGCAAATTGCAGGAGTCTAACTGGAATTGAAAGCACTTCTATGTGTGGCATACTTGCCAAACAGAAGATTAAGTACTCAGATCGCGTTGGTATAGGTGGTAAAGGTGGGTCTCAAGACTGGCATTCGAAGCTACAATGCAAGTTTAACCTGCCGTTGCCATTGAAATTCTGAGTAGATTAGATCAAACAGCAGGACAGAGTAAGGCATTAGAGAGCAACCTGTCTATTCCACGGGCTTTTTTCTTTGTTCATCGTCTTTCTTTTCCTTTTCAATTTCCTCCACCCGCCTTTTCCTTTGAAACCGGTACGTACACATAGCTGTTTGAACTTCAAATTAGTCAAAATAGATAAAAGCATAAGAGCACAACGACACTGGGCCACAGCTGCTATCATCAGTCTTTCAACCGCGTCAGTCGTTTCCCTCGATTAGAGAAAAACCCCTGTCTGTGTCTAGGCACCGATCCGAATTACCGGTGGTTCTAAATGGACAAAATGAGTCACAGTGTGCCAAAATACAGCACAGCACCCACAACTCAACAGTCTCGCTTAGTGCAGTCGGGCGTAACGCCACGAATCCACTTTCTAGCCGAGTTTGTGGCGCAGCGACAGGAGGCTTGGTCTATGGTTGGGAGTGAGTTCGATAGGATTGAGCTTGCCAATCGATGACCATCTTGAGCTGAGGATCACATGGGGACAGACGAATGCTGTGTCTGTATGAGTGACTCAGCTACGTACTACCTTGATACCTAACTTCAAGGTTGCAACTTACCAAAATCCACCACGTATTACTTGCCCCATATCCGATGTACTGCCAGGGCCCCTGAGCAAGCGAGTCAATCAGGAGGGGACTCCTTCTCGCCATTTTGCTTTTCACTGAGCATTGTCTATGAAATGAAAACGGACACGAAGGACAGGGAGGCATTCTCAATTTTCCGTCTGGTGCGCACATAGTCAGATTTTGTCTCAGCCACAGCCATCAAACATTTGCTCAGCCTCTCTCAATTGCTCCCACTAGCGTCGTGGATCTCAAACCCACATTCCCAAATGGGAAATGCTTAGTTAATAGTAGTTTTGAGATGGGCCGCCCCGACATCCAAAAAGCAGCTCATCGAGGCTGAATTGACACGCAGAAAAAAATGGTGTGGGACAAAGAGCCCCTGCAAAGATGGTTGAAAGCCTGGCACCGGAGTAATTTGTGTCAAACATGTGTCAAACGATGGGTCACCCAGCGGAGGCGAGCTTCTGTGATTTCTACATAAGAGGAAGAGATCTGTCTGCAAACTTCCTCCCCCGTGAATGTGTGGTAGCTTCGAATTCAACCCTAGCAAATAAAGATGACGACCACGGACCTACCTGCTACATCTTCTGGAGATCTTTCCCCGGTGGGGAGCGGTACTTCTCATTGACGAGGCCGATGTGTTCCTGGAAGCGCGAACGACCTCAGACCTCGCACGGAATGAGCTGGTATCAATCTTCCTGCGAAAGCTCGAATATTATGAGGTACGCAAATCCAACCAATGCCCTTTCCCTACCACTGGCGCGCCGCTCTCTGGCTACGCCCTTGACAACTGTTGATTGATATTCTCACAAGGCCTCCTCTTCCTCACAAGCAACCGGGCTGGAAACATCGATCCTGCCTTTGACTCGCGAACCCACATCTCTCTGCAGTATCCGGACTTGGACTCCGTCTCCCGCTGACAGATCTGGGTGCAGTTCCTGAATCAGAGTACGGGATTCATGGAGACACATTTTGACAGCTTAGCAGAGATCAAGCTCAATGGGCGGCAGATCAAGAATATCCTCAAAACAGCCCATCTGCTGGCGCGAGACCAGGAGTGAGAGCTGCGGTATGAAGATCTTGAGACGGTGATCAGTCTGCGGTCACTCAGCCGGGGTCGTGTATGATAGTGCTACATTTTAGAATCCGAATAATGAGTCATGATTTTAAGCCTTGGCCCAGAAGATTAGGTACGATGACGAGGAGAGTGGCTCAAGGATGTAGAAAGGTTCGAACATCGTAGGGATTATAAAATATATATCTCCATCAACAGCGACAGTTATAATTTAAGTTGCTACTGGCGGGAAAGCTGCGAACTTTGAGGTTCAAGGCTCTACTGGATATATTCTACTACTGATCTTGGGTGGTTTACCATTATCTCAGGCCCCTGGAAACCTCCTGAAACAGATCAATATAGAACAAACTCAATTGGGAATATTTGAGGCATTACCTAATGGCCAAAGAACATCTAGAAACTGGTGGTATACCAGAAGACCTGATATATATTTTTAAATCTGCCGGGCACATCTCAACTTATCACAAGCAATCACCAAGGAGCTTTATATCCCACTCAACAGCAAAAGCAGCCGAGATAACTTAGACCAGTGATAAACAATTGCTAGCGCCCTATCCTTATGTTCCGAAGGCTCCAAGCTATGTTGATATTGGTGGGCTGGAGATGGGCAGATAGCTAAACGGAGCTGGATACCCGCCGATGAGTGATCTCTCCCGGCAGTCTCACAGCCTCCTGCGTGGGGGAGCTGAAGTGGGGGGAAACTCTACGCGATCCGAACACTAAGCTGAAGCGGCCCGTTGGGAAAGTGAAAATAAGAATAAAAATAAAAAGGTGGAGACGAGCCACAACTGCGCCATTCTCGCGGTTCATTCCAGCCGTCTCCTCGGTCCGAAGCTACAAATACCGAACATGCTCTCTAGAACAAATCAATGAATTTCGTTCCAGCTTGTCAGAGTTATAACCTACTGCAACGCCAGTAATCGCTGCCCTTTCATCCCGTCCCAAAAGATAAACTAAAGACGAAGTCTCTCTTCTGTCACCATGTTCTTCACCCGCAGTGGCCTGAAAAATCCTATGGGGAAATCGTCTATTGTGCAGTGTTCCGACAAGGAATTGTACTGGTTCGATGGGAAAGCGTTGACTCCAGAGGACTTTATGTCAAAACATAACCTCCAATTGCGGCATGAAGGTTACATCAGTACCTGGGCATGCTATTACCATTTTTTTCAGGCCGAAAATCATTCTTTCGACGAGGTAGTCTATGACTTACATGCACATCGCTCAAGTTGATCTGATGAAATGAATTAGATCCAAGATGCAGTCGGCTCCCGCAACATCTGGCAATTTTCGAGCGACGAACTTGAGCATTACAGAGTATTCCTTCAAACCGAGGGAGCTCTATGCTAGGGGATACTCCTGCAGACTGGCGAAGAAATATAGCCGTGCGATCAGCCAGGGGCAACTTTCTGATGGTAATGAGCAGAATCTTTGGGCACATTTTGTCGTGAGGGAAGCCTGTTTTCGAACTATGTATATTCAACCCAGAAAGACTTTTTTTGCTGTATGAAGTGCCAAAAAAGAGGTGTCAGGGGTTAAACAGAGTGTCAAGATGTTTTGATCGAAGAATGGGACCAATATTCAGGTCACCCAGCGCTCTGAGACATCTCGAATTCCACACTCCGAACAGAGCAACCTCAATAAATAACATCAAAATTCTTTACCTCATCAGCCTATAATCATGTCAAAGATATAGGAGCTTAGAGCAACGTTAGCGGCCGATCTTTCTTGGAAGATGACGCACTAAACATTCGAAAAAACCCCGAGCTTGGAGCACAAAACATGCCCCGTTTGCACCTGATGATCCCAGTAAGCAAGCCAGCTATCCCATACAAACCCTGTACAAAGCCCGCTGTCATCAACCTCCTCTTCATAAGGACAAAAAAAGCGCCGAACGCCACCCGCCACACCAAATGGCTCCTCATAAACAGGACATCTGACGGCCTTATCGTTTTCGTCTGCCGGCTTGTCTGCTGTATCCATGTTTCGACTGCGCTGGAACCCTACGAAATGCTGATGCATGATGGAGAGTCTTAACACATCATATATAGGCTCCAACCAATCTTCATCCTCATCCGACCTACCCAGAGTGGCTAACAGTGCACTCTCGGCGCGAGACATCATCAGGCCCCATGTGTCCTCCTCATGAACCATGTGCGTACGGAAGTATTGTATCATTGTTATCGTATCTGTACAGTCATGCAGCAGGTCTTCTGCAAGACTTCCACCGTTCAGATGCTTGAGGATCATTTCTCCAACCTTGGCTGTAGTGGCGGGACAATAGTGTAGCTCAAGTTCCCGCCTCATCGTGTCAAGAAGGCGGAATGTCCCGTTTGGCATCTGGTCTCTCACGGCGTCTTGCCAGGTCAGGGATTTCTGGTTCTTGTTTGTATGCACGAAAGACACAGGGCTAGCAGCACGGTTCAAGTCTAGTTCGCTTTCGGTATCCGAGTTGCTCCAGAAATCTGTGAATCTGGCAAATTCCATTGCTTCTCTCCGTGCTGACATATGTGGAGTCACTATGGGCACAGATAGATCATTCTTCGGCGTCTTGTGCAATGCGGCGCTTTGGATGCTCTCGTCAGAAGAGATAGACTCTTTACCTTTCTCGTCTAGGTCGCGGTCTAATTCGTCGGCGCATCTTTCAATACCATGTTCGCCGCTTGAGGGCTTGTAGGTTGAGTTGTTCGTTCGCAACCGCATACCTAGGTCCAGCGCATGGGGACTTATTGGACGTCTCTCATCAGGAGGATTATCCTCTCATATTCCTTGCGGCTTAACCTTCCCATGGTCGCTGTCGGAATCTCAGAGATAGCGACAAGTTCTGGTGGCTCTGTACGATTTTTCGACCGCGATCTTGTCCGAGGAGCGCGATGTATCATTAGAGGTTGGGGTATCCTGTCGGTGCTGCTGCTTACCAAAGCGACGGTGTTATCTCTGTCTCGAAAAATCAAGGGTACCTTTACGTGTCGGTATGGGTCCGGCTGAGAACTCCCACCATCGAATTCATCACAGCAGGAACATACATCTTGGTATGAGGTTTCCGAAGAAGGACTATGGTTGTGAGAGTACCGGCTGTTGTGACGCCGTAAATATCGTCTACACTCTTCAGTTTCTCGTTCTTCGTCACGCATCTCGTAATCATGCATTTCCTTTTCAATGTCGAACTTTGCCGATATTGTACGATGCGTGTCACATATCTCTGGATACTCCTCATCTCCAATGTTCAGGGATACAGCAACGAAGCTTGTCCACCTGCTAATGATCGAGTAAATCTGCCCCAGATGCTCTGCATTTGCTCCCACTAGGTCGTGATCGCTGTGTTGTTGTCTTGCCAAGGTCTCCAGCCCTGTCAAACAAGCCTTTGCTGCGAGTTGGTGAACAAAGGGCCTGTTGATGCTGGCCTTCTGCACAATTAGTTTGCAAGTCTTTCTTTTTGCGGTGGGGTTGATAGATGTCAATGTAACTTCACGGGGTAAGGCTTTATCGCGAAGATCAACAAGAAAGTATATAGACTGATAGGAGAAAGGATGCAGATCCGGGGTGGGGAACGGGGCTTGTATGTAAGGTGCCATGGGCTCGGGTCCTGTTGACGAGGGATGAGTTTTTCCCCACGGAACAGATGCGAGATTCTGCCGCTCAAACGCCGAGCCCAGGCCAATCTCACAATTCCAACTGTCGGGTTCTAGAGCTGCACGGACAAGATGGTTCAAGCGGTTCTCTCACTTGGGTTGCGCGACGACATCCACTACATCGCCGAGGCCGCCACCCAACTCGGCCACACATTCGATCAATCGGTGAGACACATGGTCCCCGATTCCCAGCGCGAAAAAACGAATTTTGTTGCCCAGCTTCTTCCGCATTAATGAGACGTACTCTGCGACCGGCATGGGGTCCAGCTCTCCATCCGTGATAATGATAATTTGGGCAGACGTCTTTTGACTGCCCAAATGTTTCATGGCAGCCTTGAGTGCTCGCACTAAATCAGTGCCGCCAAGATCGGGGCGGGAAGTGGTGTAAGCTCGAGCCAGCTCTATTGTCTCTGCCGAGTGAGGCCTGGACTGGTCCCAAAGCCCCTCCGTTGAGCTGCCGAATTTGAGGACGTTGAAGACACATGTATCCGGGATACCGCATAAGGCTAAGGACATAGCCGCGCCCAAAACCTCGAGTTTCGATTGCGGTCGATGGCGACTGAAATGCATGGATCCGGAATAGTCCAGTACAAAGATAATCTCGCCTTTGAAGCTTCTCGGTCGAACAGCAGTGCCAAAGAGGTCAGAAGGGCGAAAGCTGACTTGCATTGCTGCGTAGCCGTTGGAGTCCGGGGGCGAGATTAGGGCTCGGGACTGGACCTGATATCCCGTTCGCACTGGGAGCACAAGGACCAGATCGCCCTCTAAGCCTGCCTCGCGACTATGATATTTTCACACACCCTGTTGCTGGGATGCCGATGGCGATTCATCGACGAAGTGAAGCTGGGAAGCGTCTGGAACATGAAATACACGTTTCATGGGTTCTTTCCCTTGATAATCGATCTCATGGTGTGATTCTGCAGTCCAATCTTCACTGTCAGTGATGCTACCGGCAGCAACTCTGATGACCAAGTTGAGCTCGGTCAATCTCAGCGGCTACGACGGGAACGACACTCCGTACCGAGGCGCTATGGAGATGGGAATGATGATCGCGATGCCCTCTGATTTGCGCTCGGTCATCAAGACAACCTTCAATTCATGCACGTAAGTCAGCTTGATCTTGACGTCCGTCAGAGGCGAAATGTTTCCCAGCGACGTCACAAAGATCTCCGAGCTCTGCTCCTCCAGTAATGCTGCTGTCTCTCGCTTGTTCTGTACCGCCTCGTGGTAGACCTGTCTTGCCTCCTCCCTGGGCTTGACTACCCCTCGTAAGCATTGCAGGTCGCCGATCGTACACTCGAATGCTGTCACGCTTGCGCCTTCGTAGAGTGGAAAAATATGCTTGGCCTCGCGGATTGTCGTGTCGGACGGATTGCCGAAGGTCTGGGTCAACTCGCTGCATGCCAGGGTACCGTCCACCGTTACCTCAATGTCGACGCTCAGCATAGGCAGACACAACGTTGTCATTGCCTCGTGATGGTCTGCCCCCATTAAGAAGCTGTCATCCAAGTCCCTTCCTGGCACATGATGTCCATAGAAAGTATTAAACAAGGCTGCAAATGTGTGGATGCCATCACTGAAGGGCCTTCCCGACCCATTAATGTGGTCGCTTTCATGTCTGTGACGCACATTGTGGCGTTTGCCGTGAGAGGCAGGATGGCTCGTCTTAGGTGTTTGATCCGGTAATGAATCATTTGTATCTCGCCAGGTGTCTCGCGGTGCTGATGCCAGGTCCAGAGGGGCCGATAACACAATTCCTGAAGGGATACGTTGTCGGGGGATATGGCGGCTCATTGCGGTTTCAAGACTGTATATGATTCTCCCTGTCAAAAGCGAAAATGTTGAAGTGTATAGAGTATAGCACTCTTAAGCCTGACCGCTGATTTTTTTATGCCTAATGACTGACTTCGACGGGGGTGCGGGGCAACCAAGTTTGCTTTGGTTTATGCAGCTGCAGGGGTCAGCATCATATCGCACCAATCTCCGCGCAGAGATTGACTTGCGACGCACACAAGCGCTTACGGCTGGGGGCTTTGCGCACTGCCACCTGAAATCAAAAGGGATTCGTATATGCGAAGGCCAAGCCCGCTTCACCAGTCTGCCCTCCCCCCTCCCGAGTCGCAAAAGAATAAGGAAACAGTGGTCTCTTTCCAACCGCATGATGAGTCAAAACAGTGCCTGCGAGGATGTTAAACAGGGCTTTGGCAGCCTCGCAACACCAGTTGGTCGCTTTGCCCAGCAATCCTTTCCATCAGAAGCCGCAGCCCTAGAATCAACATTTGCTGTGCATGAGATTGCACTGGAAGAGCTGATCCGTGACTCGCAAGCGAAACCTGCACTTGTTTGTTCCCGTGTGCGCCTCTCCACTCGGCTTGATCAAATCTCATATCAACTTCAACTGAGCTGCTGTTGCGCAGAGAAGCATGACCACGATGAACTGCAATACCGAGGTCGGCCTTCTTCCCATGGGTGGTATTGCAGAGCCAGTGCCGTAACTAATGTGCAATCACCATCATAGCTACAATTACTTCAGGGTACCTGTGCGAGGAGATAAGAACCAATTCAGCCCGCACGTGGAAGGAAATTCTCCAAAAGGTGAAGACAAAGACTAGAGTCATTCTGTGCCTGACAGCGACATCAGTTGAATGTTAGTCATGGCAGGAATTCTAAAACATCAACACGTTTTGTGGATCTGACACTCTCCAGCCTCCTCCCTTGTGGAGGTAATGTCCCTCGGGTTGATGGACCATTAGCTTCGTTTAGGTTCATTTTCCGGGGCTGGGTTGGCTAACGCGACGGCCGCCGGAAATGTGCCATGGCGACCGGGCATCGGTCCTGGCATCTGTATATCGTTCTCGTAAGCATACTGGAATGTATGTTCGCAGCAGACAATCCACTAAATGTTTTCTCTGCTTTCAGCCAACCTATTCCTGTGAACACCTTCACAACAACCTATCATAATGGCTCCGAAAACACTGTACACTTACCAAAAGCGACGAAGGTATTTCTGCGGCACGGTCATCCCGAGGCCGTTACCACCGTGCAACAACGCTCGCCGCTTCTCTCAGGCACATCCTTTGAGATCTGGTTAAGCCTTCAGAGCATTTCGCACTCGGAACCGTCGCAATATATCTGCTCAGGTGGGATAGATAGCCCTCTCAATACCTGCAACTGAGATGTGCCTAAACACCTGACGGTTGGCGTCTTTTCCAGTGGCCCCGGAAACACGAGTCTTAGCCGAACGTCACCCTCAGGGCCAACTTCATGTGTCGCTTTGCAATGTATGCTTCCGCGGAAAGCTGGCCGAGTCCGTCCGCTTCAGCTTCTATCGAGGGGAAGGTCAGCAGTGTCCAGCAATACATACGGCACAATTCGTGAATCTCGATAGCTAACCCAGTTCACATCAGATGCAACGCGTTTTGCGATATGTATTCGCAAGATAATGCAGAAAATTAGCGAGATCTCCACTCTAGTTTTATATCAGACGGAGGCCGTGGGACATAGAACCTCAGTCCGAGCCGGATTGCTGGGAGACAATAAAACACATGCGCCAGAATTTACAGCGACAGGCGACGTTGCTGCAATTACGCAGGACCCCATACCAAATCCGTCTAGTTTGCAAGCTTCCACACCCCAAGACAAACCACTCGCCACCATTCCTTTGCCGCTTGATGGCGACGATTTGCGTTTCCGCTCCGCAGCCCAAATGCCTCCAGACCCGCCGCAGCCATATACTCAAGGACAGGGTGCAGAGTCAGGTGGCGTCTTTGTGAAAAGGTGAGCTTGAGACTTTCGAAACACGATAGCAGAAAGCTGCTCGAAGTAATGTGCTGATAGTCAGAAAGCATTCGTCAAAGCACGCATATGTCGGATAGATGGTTCGATGAGCTCGACGACTTGATCAGTGTTATGAAAGCACCCAAGAAGGTAAAGGGGGGTTATCGAGCTGTCAAGGTGGCGGTGATCGATACTGGTCTTCAACCAGCAATTGGCCTCCGGATGAACGTGATCGAATGGAGGGACTTCGTCGGCAGCAGCTCAACAATGTGTGATAACACCTGGCATGGCACCATTTCTGCCAGGCTCCTAGCCAACGCATGTGAGGGCGCCGAGTTATACATAGCAAGGGTGTTTGACACGAACAACGCCAATCATGAGCACGGGCCGCGCCTCATGGCTCAGGTTCGTCTTCTCCTTGTTTACTATCTTCAAGCAGCCCGAAGCTTTTGGGGCTCTGATTTCACGCTCTGATTTCATCAACAACCAGGCTATCGAATGGGCAATCGACCCCACGCGCCGAGTCGACATCATCAGCATCTCCGCCGGTTTTGCTGAACACTCCCCTGTACTTCATAGAGCAATTGATCAAGCCAGCAATGCAGGGGTGCTCATCTTCGCCGCCGCGTCGAACTGGGGCAATCGCGGCCGCGTCGCCTTCCCAGCCCGCCACAACCTCAGAACCATGTGCATATTCTCGACCAACCCAGATGACCAGGCCTCATCCTTTAATCCGGAGCCTCGCGAGCACGCAGATAATTTTGCCATCTTGGGCGAGGACCTGGTGCACCCCGCTGACCCGACGATACGCGAGAGCGGAACCTCCATGGCCACTGCCATTGCCGCCGGGTTGGCGGCTCGGATTATTGACTTTAGCCGGCATGCGGATAACACGACCATCGAGCGCGTGGGTGATGTGGGCTCCCTCGCTGGTATGACGGCTATCTTCCGGTTTATGTCCAAGAGAGATGGTTCTTTCCAGTGTGTTTCGCCGTTACGGCTCTTGCCGGAACGACATAAATATAACGAGCCCGAGAGGAACCGCGCGTATGTGCGAGAGAGTCTGCATCGTGCTATGGAGAGTGCGGACTAGATTGAAGCTTCAGATTGCAGCAGATGACAGTACTAGTATTCTATTCCACCACTCGTCTTTGTAATATTTGAGCTCGATGTATATATGCAGATGACAAACTTCTAAAAAAGAAAAAGGATGATGTTTCTACGCATTGTCTAAAACCACCACTAGGGCCTCATCAGCCTCGTCACCTGTGACAATCTCAAAGCGACTCAGTCCCTCTCCAATAAGCACTTTCTCAACATCCAGATCCTCGTCTTCTTCTTTCTCCACTCCAAACGTAGCCCCCGTGGTGTATGGATCCAGCGACCAGTCTCTCGCAAGCCACCCCTTATGGATCTTTGCCAATCGCACCGCCCACACGAAGTCCGACTGATGCGCCCCTTTGATCGTACTGGTGTCCTCGCGGGCAAGGTCGAGAGTAGCAGTCACGGTCGCGAGTCCCGTAACGTCCCTGCCCAGAAAAAAAGAGCCCGTGTTAACATCTCCTCTCGCTCAGGAATAGCAAACATGTACGACCCAGTGATGGAGAGGGAGAAAGGCAAAAGGGAAAGAAAACAAGGAACTTACACATCAGGTCCCCCACCCCCACTTCTGCCCTTCTCCTCACTCACCTCCCTCTTTCCCCCTCCTTCTCCTCCGTGGCTGCTTGCGCACCTCGCAATCTTCAATCCAGTCACCATAAACAAAGTCCACGCCCTAAGCCTTTTCCCATGCACCACCTTTCCCCGGAACTCCTCCTCTTCCTCGAGCGCATCCAAACAATCCTGGATATAGCCCCTTGTCGGCGTTACAATGTACGTATCCAACTGCGCATACTCTTCATGCCTCGCCACAGTTTGCTTAAATGCGAGATTAAATTTCAGCCCCGGGGTAGCGGTCCCGGTGACAGCGCCGGCGATCGGCGCCGCCAGCTTAAGCGCAGTGGATCTGTCGTCGTGGGCGGTGGTCTGCCAGACGAAGTTCGTGGTGGTGGTGCGATAGACTTGCATGCGGATCGGGAAAGGGAGGAGGTTGTGTGCGTTGAGGGGGTTGTCAAGGTGCTGGAGGGAGGGGATGATGTGGCCCAGGGTTATCGAAGGTGCATTTCCGGGGCTGGACGCGGTCATGTTGCCCCCGAAGTGGTGGCCGGAGAGTAGGGCTTCTTCCGGGGGTGCGGGGTAGTCGGTTTGGCGGAGGGTGAACCATACCTTATCCATTTTGGGCGTAGGATACTATGCAAAAATAGCAGATCAAAGAAACAAGGTAGGGACAAGGCACAAAGACGGGAGCAAGAATGTTGAAGAGGAAAGTGAGACCAGAAAAAAGAAGGGTGGCCCTTTCTGTATGCAGAGAGACCAAACTTACGCGCTGTCTCCTGCACGAGGGGGTTTGACCTTGTGGCGCGCGCTTATAAGTATAGTATCCCTGTATGGGAAGCCTTTATGATACGGAGGATTTCTCATTTTTTTCCCACCTTTCTATATCACGGCCTCTCTTTGTGGGGGATATTTTATGGGTAAAGGTTATTGATATCTAATGTAAAAACGTGGGCGGAAAGACGCATTGAAAGTCAAGAGAGAGGAGTTTGGGGTGGGATTCGGAGAGAAATTCGGTTTTTTTTTTTAATTCTTCTTTGAGGCAACCAATTAGGCATTGTGTAAACACATTTACAGGGGTGACGTGGTCATGCATCCAGTAAAGTAAGGGTGATGTATAGTAGTGGCGGCTACGGCATCCACCCATCTCCCTAGTGCTTATCGGATTCAGGGCAAGGCTGACATGACAACCTCCCCCCACCCACAATGATGCATCGTGAGCATAATTTCAATGGATGATTGAAATCATTCAGTTCCGTACCCAGAGTCGGCGCCTCAATTGAGGTCTGCGGTCTCGAGTTCGGATGAAGCATTATTGATCCCAACCCAGTTTCCGCTTGTATTCAGCACAAGTCTCATCTTCTAAATCCTTTCTCATGAAACACCCATGCCGTGGTGGCAGACCGTACCGTAGTTACTTTTGTGTTGTAGATATACTGCAAGCCCCTTGTATTCATTGCATCACGTCGAACGCGGTTGAATGTCATGTCTTGTATGTTGGCCCTCCTGATTAGATACCAGTCGAGCCTCCTCTTGGTTCTGAATATCCTAATCCCGTAATCCTGGTCAGCCCTCTCCTCGTCCACGACTGAAAGTACAAACCTACCTCGATAGCCGGCACAGCCGAGTGCCAGGCGGCAACCAACATCCCCTGGAGCGCCACATCACTCCGGACCTCCTGCATAGTCTTCTGCACACTTGCACCCCAGAACCGCGAGGCTTTCTCTACGCCATGCATGCCGAAATCAATATCAATGTGATGCCTCATCAGCTCGGGATACCTGATGAAAGCGATCAAGCTCTGACGGCAGCATGTTCGATAATACCCGATGCTGCCCAGGAGAAAACCCACGCAGGAGCCGCCCAGGAACCCGACTGCGCCGGCCGTGAAGACGCAACCCAGCACTGTCGCCCCGAACAGGCCGATGATGGCCGCTGTCGAGCTCCCCGCCAGCAGGCACTGGAACATGAATAATCCTCGACCACTCGGTTTGGTCAGCCCGCCCACGGCTCGCAGGGCTTGGCCCAGGGAGCTGACGGTCTGCGCTGGAATCTCGCCCTGGAACTTGCGATGAGAGGCGGTCCAAGTACAGGGGTGGAACTGTGAGGGGAGTGCTCACCTGCATCCTTGTGATGAACTTTGACCAAGGAAAATTTGTAGGAATCGCGAATATTGGTGCGTGGGAAAGAGAGATCCGAGGAATGAATGCACTATTTACTGTAGGTCACGTGAAATCGTCTGGCTTTACCGCATGCGGCGCAAGGGGTATCATGGAAGCGTGATTGGACTAGACAAGTGAAGAAGCAGATATGACACGTGTCTGTATGTACTGCTTTGTCTCTGTAATTATATACACTTTCTCTTATGTGAAAGTGGGGTCGGAGCAACAGGCTCTTCGTTCTGTGCAGCGACCACACCATGCATTCCACCTCAGCTAGAAGTTTTGCTCAGTCCCGGAAAATTATTCCAGGAACTTGGCCAGATTGCTCTCTACCCACTGCTGCAAGCGCTGCGGGGGATGCTGAGCATACCTCTGAATGTTTTCGCGTGCCATAAGCGCTTCAGGACTTTCCAGGTACCATCCAGCGCGATCGATCACGTTATGAAGGTGCCACTGGATCATAGCGGGCGGCATGCCGGCGGCCTCCATCTGCGCGGCAGCCTCTCCCCGAGTAATGCTAGTGACTTGGGCTTCCTTGCCCAGCGCGTGGCCCACAGTTCTTACCGCTTCTCTCAACGTCATCCTCTCGGGCCCAAGGAGCCGCACGATGCGTTCTTGGGCGCCATTGACCAGGATCGTCCCCGCGACATGGCCAATATCCTCCGATGAGATAAAGTCAAAAGTGGCATCGGGGTTGGGCAGTTTGACTTGTCCCCGTAGGATGGCCTGCTTCTCGTGAAGAAGGTTACTGGCGTAGAATGCAGGCCGCACCGTCACGTAGCCGGAGCTACCATAGATCTCTTCCAGCGTGATTTCCACCTGAGCATGCTCCCAGGGGACGATGTCGGAGGGATCGACCTCATGAATGTCGGTCAGGATAATGAAACTGCTTAGGAAGACGACAAATTCTACCCCGGATTCTTTGAGTGCTCGGAGCGCGACCCTCATGAAGTCCGCCCCGTCGAAGATTCCATATATAAAAGCAGCTTGCGCGCCAGCCTGGCGAACTGCAGCTCTCAGGGTAGCGGGCTGTGTCAAGTCGGCTTGGTATCTTGTGAAAGGAAGGTGGTCGAGCTTAGGAATTGGCTTTGCGGGGTTTCGTGTCGCCAGCGACACCGTAGCGCCGTGGTGATGGGCTTGCAAGGCAGCGGCAGATCCCACATCCCCGGTAGCACCGAAGACGATCACGTTGCTGTACCTGGGCATTGTAACCGATGATTTAGGATAAAGATGAAAGCGATTCTTGATCGCGGTTCCTATGTAATAATCAAGCCGAATGATAATATTATGTTTGTTCGTTGAGATGCTAACTTACCTTGCTACTTGTATGTGTTTGGTCGACGGACTGTCAATCCAGCCCTAAATCCGGTCGGGTTTTGGAACTTTCTTGCGTCCGTGACCCGAGTTGGACCGCGTAAGTTTCAAGTTTGCCATCCACAACAGTACTTTAAATGGCCGTGAGACGAGACTTGCTTCCTGATGGTTGAACGTCAGTGTATTATTCCTGGACTGTTATGTTTTCATGGGGGGCTATCCAGTATGATGCCTTTTTTGTCTCTAGTCCATGCCACTGGTGTCATCTCTTCCTCCCTTGGGGCCGGTAAGTTGAGCCTACCCCTGGCCCAGCATCTGACCAGAATCCAACCAAAAGACTTACAAACCTCTCTTGGCAGGTACTATCTTCACTTCCTCTTTCACTGGTGTCAGCACGGCCCAGCTCGCCGTTCACGAATCCACGCGCCTCGCTGCCCAGCAATGGGTTCATGTCCACCGGAAATGCCACAACCTAGGCACCCCGTTGGTCGTGCTATCAGCGGTCTGCTTTGGATTGGTGACCGCCCAAAGGCAAAGCCAACAGCTTCTGGCGGCCGCGACCGCGTGCATGGGCATCGTGCCTTACACGATTGTGGCCCTGGGAGGACCGGAAATGGTTCTCTTTGCGGCTGCCGACTTTGAGTGCCAGGCTGGGTCGGCGGGTTCGACTCGAGATGTACAAACGGCGCTCGCCAGCTGGGGAACACTGAATATGGTGCGGACAATATTTCCTTTGCTGGGAAGCGTCCTGGCTATGGGCATGCTCTCATGGTAGTGATTCATTGGATATCATAAGAACAACCCTTGTTGGAGTTACTTGTGATGCGCTACACAAACTAAGACATGATCTACAATTAATCCTACCAAAAGGTTCCATAAACCTGTCTCAGATCAGGCACTTGAGGTGCTTGGTTTGGAAGACTAAATGTCATGAATGATACTTCGTCCTTCTTTTCATATATTTACGAGGGAGTGTCCAATGACGACTCTGATTAGTACAGATATTGGCTCTAGCCTTGTAACCCCAAGTTATATTTAGGGTTTGGATCTATATACTGCCCTCGTTTACAGGCTGGGTGGAAGGCACAGTACAGTGCGAGAATCACCACCGATCTCATTTCGTTTTACGTACGGTACGGTAATCTGTAAGTAACGATGCAATCATTACCCGCTGCTCGGACTTTGGCTCGGACTCTGGAAAAGTCAAGCGGTCATTGATGGCCAATCGTATGAATGGCCCATGATGTCGATGGCCATTTTTCGGTGACCAACCCTATAATATGATACATGTTTTCCCAAGAGATTTGGACTACGACTATCCGAAATGCACTTCTTGCCAGGACAAGACCCTCATCAAACATCATGACAGCATTCCCCTTAGGCTACCGTCTCGCTCAGGCCATTGGCTTCAGCGGAGCGGCCTGGTTATCGGGTACGTATATTACAGCAGATGACGCTCCCATTTTTGATATTCCTTATCCCACGGAATAGCCCCCTTGACTAAAAGCACCACCGTCTAGGTAACATCGCAGCACTCAGCCTAATCGCTGTGCCCGCCGTGGTGGAAGCCCAGAAGGAAACCCCGATACCCAGCAGGGTTGTCGTCAGGCTGTGGCGAGGATTCTACGAGAAGGGCAAGACGCAGAACCCTCCGATCGCGGTTGCTACCGCCACGGCGTTTCTGTACCTCGCCTGGTCCGTCCGCGCCGCTGGACCCCTGTTCCGTTCCGCCGCCTACAACCGCGCCGGATTATACACTGCGGCAGCCGTCTTGACCCTCGGCATCGTGCCGTATACTATCCTCACCATGAGACCGACCAACAATGCCCTTCTCGCCCTGGCGCAGTCTCCAAAGGATCTGACCGCAGCAGATGAGACGCGAAGCCAAGATTTGCTCAAGAAATGGACCTCATTGAATAGCTTACGTGGCTTGTTGCCTCTTGCAGGGGCGACGTTGGGCATGCTTGCGGCATGGATTTAGAGGTCAGGTAATGACACGATGGATGTTGGAGTTTTCACCTTGGATTTGGATCCTACAAGGACAATTGAATAGTAGTTGGAGAAGAGCACAGGGTAAATGTTCTATGCTGCAACCGTGATTCAGATAACCGGTGAGCTACTGGATGGTAGGCAGCCATTGAGATCCTTGTATTGTTAAGCTTCCAGCCTTAGCTATGAACACAAGATTCGCATTTTCAATAACACAGATACGTAAGAACCAGGGACTGATCTCAAGAGAGTTGCCGCAGAGATACGATAATGAGCACGGCTTATGTCTCCAAGACTGCGATTGTCCTTATGGCCCCGTACCTAGATAGGTTGAAGTAGAACACCCGGTTCACCGCCTTCTTTCCTTCTTACACTGCTTTCTATGCTGGAATGACCGGGAGTGGGTTAGCCAATACCACAAGATGAAATCGGCAGATCTGGACTTATCAATCATGGCTTATTGACTGAACCCAGGCACTCGAGAACTGGGTTGACCGAGGTTAATTATCATCGTTCGTTTTGTTCGTTCGGGTGATTGCCTTGTTTATTCATGGTGAGACGTTGGCTCAGTAGAGCTCCCCTGGCCAGAGTCTTCAGAATGGAAGCCAAGGGTCCAGACTCGGGACCCACCAGCCCTGCATCCTGCTTGAAAAATATATGCATGTGGATGACGGGTCACCAGCCAATCACAGACAACCGGGGAACGGAACTGACAATACAAGAAAATAAGTGCAGTGGGGATGACAGATCTCAAGCCAATCAAAGGCACTCGAGGTGGCATAAATCTGGTGGGTACTGAAGGTATCTACAGGTAGGCAGTAGTGGTCAGTATTGATCCCAACTCTGATCAAAGTCTGCATCAGAGTCGGAAGTAGTGCGGACTATATATTCTACTGCATGCGAATCCAAAGCAGAGCCGCCGAAGTGACTGTTCGGCAGATAGTGATTCTTTCGTACAAGCGCATGTTGCCAGGCAGACTTCCTGGATTGCACTACCTTCAACCATCAGCTACTTTCACACCACTCACTCTCAACCTACTACTAATTGAGGCCCATTATGCCTACATTCCGGACTCAAGACATCCCCGATCTCCACGACCAGGTCATAATCGTGACCGGAGGCAATGTAGGGCTCGGGTACGAGACCATCCGCCAGCTCAGCGAGCACCACCCGGCTAGGATCTATCTCGCCGCACGATCCCGCAGCAAGGCCGAGCAAGCCATTGCAGAGCTCAACAGAGCCAGTCCCAGCTCCACAAACATCATTCGTTTCCTCCAGCTCGATCTTGCCTCCTTTGACAGCGTCAAAGCCGCTGCTGCAGAATTCCTCCGTCAAGAGTCTCGCCTCGACATCCTGATCAACAACGCCGGAATCATGATGACTCCGGAAGGTCTGACGCAGGACGGCTACGAGATCCAATTCGGGACCAACGTCCTCGGTCCCGCGCTGTTCACGCAACTCCTTCTCCCCACTCTCCGTTCTACAACGAAACTCAACCGCCAGACCCGGATGGTGATGCTCTCGTCGGCCGCCCACGCTCGGGCGCCCAGTGACGTCTACAAATTCGACGAACTTCGCACCACCGCCCCTAGCCGACATACCACAGAGCGCTACACCACATCCAAGCTCGCCAACCTACATTACGCGAGGGCCTTGGCGGAGAGAGAGACGGAGGTCAAGATCATTCCTGTGCACCCGGGCATGGTGGCGACGAACCTGCACCATGCTTCCACGGGGACTTTTCTCAAACCCTTCCTGTCTGCTGCGGTTTGCTTGGCGGCTACCCCGGTCGAGAAAGGCGCCCTCTCGCAGATCTTTGCCGCGGTGAGCCCTGAGGTAAAACATGGTCAGTACTATGGGCCGATCGGCAAGGCCGAAGCAGGTTCCAAACTCAGTCAGAACCATGATCTTCAGGAGGAATTGTTCAGATGGGTGCAAGCGGAGCTTGTTGGGCATGTTGACACTATTTGGTGAAAATCGCGTCCTGCTGATTTTTGCTTGTATTGTTTTGCCTTTTCCTTGTCCTTTTTATTCCTACGACCTTTTTCTGTCTGTGTAACAATGACATTAAATCGAAAATTATGTACCGTGGTTTCGTTGCCACACTAGGGAATTCCAAATGCGGGGCTTTACTATGTGACCCTGAGCGCAAAAAAATATGTAGAAACTGAAAACAGGTAGAATGCACTGCTCATATCAGGCAGCTTGAGTCGAGTATCGATCGTACTGTGACACCAACTGAAAAATATATAAATGCCTGAAGCGCATTGATGCACCCGGGTATCGTTACATTTGAATCTTTTAAGCTATACTCAAAGAATCGCATAGATCACTCTTAGCAAGGGGAATACCTACTCTTTCCCAGCTAATACCGTCAGAACACTAAATCTGTAGGGCACCATGCACATACTGTGCTGCCCAGTGATTGGCTGTACAACCGTCATCCCGGATCTTGGAACCGGGGAACCCGAGCCCCCGAGACGGACGCTGCTCCGATTTAGTTCAAGTCCGGTCGGATTTAATGATCCCAGAGCTTAAAATCCGGAGGACGGATTGTCCGCCAATCATCGACCTCTCCTTCTATCAGTCATCAATTTGAGTCTTCAGCCATTTCGCCCCTTCATCGCAGCAGTCTTTCTCTGCATCCACCGGCAAACCGATGCTAATCTCCCTACATTCAACTGCACGAACCACAGCCTGCATAATCCCAGCAGTCGTGTCACGCCCAGTTGAACGCTAGTGCACCGTCTAAATGTCCTCCCCGAAAGAGCGGATCCGTCGCCTGGACGAGGATTGGTCCGGGATCACCGATCCTGCTCTTCGCAAGAAGTTGCAAAACAAGATCAACCAGCGTGCTTTGCGTAGGTACCTTGAATATGCACCCACACGCACCCACATCCACTTTACATTTCAACATACGAACCCGCAAAAATCCCGTTGTAGAGCGGAAGCTACTCACAGCACAAACTAACGGCCTCAACAGGAGCGCGAAAACGCCAAGAGCGGCAAGAAGCCATGCGCTTGCAGCAGGCTAGAAAGCAGAGCCAGGCCGCTCTGCCTCGTTCATATGCCCCGATACTCCCACGACCAGAGCACTTCCAAGTCGAAGACCAGATACTGAGTCCGCGACGACCGCACACCCAGCCCACCACACTCATCGAGGCCGTAGCAATGATGACGCGCTTCAGCGCAGCTGCCTATGACCGATACTATGCCGCCGATCCTTGCCTGGATCATCTCTTCACGCTCTCCAAGTTCAACGTGCTTCGTGCTTTTGTGGATAATATGGTAACATTGGGTTTGAGCATTGACGCCATGGGAGATGACGTTATCTCCCCATTCAATATGGCTTTCCCAGGAAACCCCAGCCGACAGACCCTTCCGGCGAGTCTCTTCCCCACATCGACTCAATGCACCATATCCCACCATCCCTGGCTGGACTGTTTCCCGTTCCCGCGGATGCGAGACAATCTGGTCCGGGCCGCGGACTCGTTCAATGATTGCGAGCTGTGTACCGATATCGTGGACCCCACCAACGGCGATATCGGGATGATGGTGTGGGGAGACCCTTGGCTGCCGCAGAGCTGGGAGGTGTCGCAGTTATTTGTGACCAAGTGGGCGTGGGTGATTGAGGGGTGCCCGGAGATAATCGTGCATAGTAATTATTGGAGGGGTAGACGGGGACTTCAGAGGCTCAAGGTGGGCGCCACGTAAACAACAGCCTTCGGTGCACAGAATGCCTCGCTACCATTTCGGTGAATTGGGACTACATACTGTACTACCACTACGCACAACCACGAGTACGCTGCTTAAAGTGTGCTGGCACACCCGCGGACATCCAGGGACAAAGCTACCATGTACAAAGGTCTAATGCATCCATTCACACTACGCCACTTATTACCAGATTGCATGCACAGGACGACATCTCTACAGGAAAGGAAAATCGACTTCTCGATCCCTCTTCTGAGGGATCTCTACCCCCCACCAGATCCAACTCTCCTATCCACCACGCACCGCAGCAAACACATCAACCGTATGCTTCCAAATCAGATCCCTTACCCCTTCCGCCCGATACTGCCGCATAAGCTCACTGGGCTGATACGTCTCCCCGGCAGAATCCAGCCGATAGAACCCACTCCCAGCATCCCCATCCGACCCCTGCGCCACCCCACGCCCACCATTCTGCCCAAATCCCCGCGCCGGAAACCGCAAATCCGTCGCCGCGAACAAATGCCTCTCCCCACTTTCACCCAGCGGCGTCTCCCACGGCTTAGCCAGCACCATCAACGCCGCGAGCGCACACTTCGTGACCGTGCCGAAATCCCGGTCGAGCCGCGTCCGCACCAGCCCCGGGAACGAGTGGACGAACGAGACCTGCGGATACGCGGCCGCGAGGTGCTCCATCGCGACGGAGGTCATGGTCGTGGCGTGTTTCGCGCAGTTGCGCAGCGAGTAGTGGGTTTGGAGGGGGAGATCGTCCAGTTGCAGGGCTGCTTCGTGGCCGGCTTCGAGGACGGAGACGACGCGGGAGAGTGCGGGTCGGTTCCCGTCTGCGGTGGTGGCAGCGCCGGCTTTCTGCAGCTGCGGGAGGAGGTTGGCGATGAAGCGCATGCGCGAGTAGTAGTGGAGGCTGAGCTTTTTGTCGAGGCCCTCGGTGGTTTCTGTTACGGCAGTCACTTAAGAGGTTGGGACGAAGAGGAGGGTTACATTGGGGTTGCCCTGAGGAGATGGGGGTCCGTACCGTCCCGTCCTTTCATCGTCCCGACTCCTGGACTCAGGAATAGGAGGTTGACTTTGTCTTCGTTTTGTTGGATGGTTCTGCATGCCTCGTCGACTTCGCGTAATAGGGAGACGTCGGACTTGATGAACGTGATCTGCGCGTCTGGGTTCATTTGTTGCAATTCCTCGATGATCCGGCTGGCTCGGGACTGGTCGCGGCCGACAAGGTACGCCCGTGAGGCATGGGTGCTGCGGATGAAGGCGCGGACGGTCGATTCGCCTATTCCGCTGGTTCCGCCGACTGTATGCACCGTGTCCTGTTAGTGGATTATAGGCGAAGTGCATCACTGGTGACATGGCAGCGGATTCATAGACTGTACAACTCACCAAACACACCCACCAGGCCGGACCCGTAAAGGCCAGTGATGGCGGAGTTGTTTTCTCGTACGGTAGCAATTGAGACCATCGTTTCTGTTGAAGGATCTTAATCAGTCTGAAAAAAACATATGAGTGGAACGGGAGCTCTTAAACCACTAGTCATGGGGGCAATGGGACTTGAATCAAAGCCACATGGTTTGCAGACCACCGCATTGCGTGGCTGACATGCTACAACATGATTGGACAGTTGAGCGTCATCCAGGGGCATTCAGTCAGCGCAATTAATACTGCAATGCGGTCCACTCTTATCTCCGGTTCCGGTTCAGCAAAACACATCAGTCGAAGTTTCACCTTAGTTCCAAAAAGCTGCAGCCTCTTGGTGCTGTGCATCCTGTATGTATGCAGTGCCATACATTGGACCGCAGTGCTACGGAGATAACACCGATTCCGATCTTACTTCCGCTCCCTTGAGTTGGTGGTAAATCTCACAGAGTTTGTCGTGCGGTGACACTGTGGTTCTCCCTATATACTTTGGAATTAAACCCCCAGTGAGTTGGTGAATGTGCTGAAATTAGCCGTGTGCAAAACATCTCTCACGGCAGTTCAGTTGAAATATCACAACGAGCGAACCGACAGCAGAAATATTGTCTCTCCACCCAAGTCTACAGTGTATGACCTTCTGTGTCCTGGGCGTGGTCCAGTAGACCTTTGCAGAACCCTGCCTCATCGAACCCCCTGCCCAATCCGTCCCATGTTTCTTGACATAGGTCCATGACTCAATTTGCATCAGCGCCAGGGAATGCGCCTGGCTAGTCGCAATGCCTGTTTACCATTCTTGTTGATCTGGAACGCACCGATCGGAAGTTCAAAGTTGGCATTGCCCATGTCAATAATCGTCGCCGTCACGTGCACGCCATCTTGAATCTGCTCCAGCTCGTCAATGTACAAGTGTCGTCGGGAATGTATATAGCGTTGGATTAGTTGCTGTCCTCGCGCATGCCGAACGAATCTGGCTCGACCAGAGTCCCAGTGACCTGGCCGACCAGAAAGTGCTTGCACGGGGTGCTGGTGATGCGGAACTCCCTGCCGGCGATGGTTGCGTGTACTGTTCCTCACGGCTGCAGCCCTACCACGGCCGGCCGCGGCCACAGGTTCTTCGTCCCGTCGACGGTGCTGAGCGCCCGGTGGCAGTCGAAGAGCTAGCGGCCCTCGGGTCGAGCTTGCCGAGATGATCCACATGGCTGAGGGGCATGGGGTCGAGGGGTGGCATATCGTGCAGTTAAGAATCAAAACCTAAATGCTCGCTGTCGGCATCACACAGGGGTAGATCCTCACCATGACACGACATCCGGCCTCTAATTACGCGGGATGCCGGGTTTACGGCATCCCACTTGGCCCGAGGTCGCCGATCCATCAGACACCGTTATAAATATCGGCTGACAGTGTGGTGAGTCGATACCACTGGGAACATACAATTACCTGGCATCACAGCATGATGTAAGTCGACTCCCCCAACCACTGTTCAAGCCTGCACCTGACACCTTTCCTCCAGGGAACGCATAAACCCCAACGAAACGCCTTACTTCGACCTCGGCTCCCATGCTCGCAAGGTGACAACCACCTCAAAGGAAGCACAGACATGGTTCAACCGAGGCCTGGTATGGGCTTATTCCTTCAACGTTGGCGAAGCCGGCAAATGCTTCGAGCAAGCCGCGCAACACGATCCCAAGTGCGCCATGGCATACTGGGGAATCGCCTACGCCACCGGGCCCAACTACAACAAAGCCTACAGATTCTTCGACAAGGAGGACCTTTACGCTTCAATTGAGAAGGCCAACCGCGCTCTGACGCGTGCTTGGGAGCTGCTGCTTGAAGCCACCCCCCGGTCGAGGAGGCATTGATTCGAGCTCTCAGGGCACGCTTTCCACCATCCGATCAGATCCCCGATGACTTCAGTTCCCAGGACCGCGCATACGCCGACGCCATGCGCCCGGTCTACCAGAGGTTCGGGACCGACGCAGACATCGCAGCCCTTTTCGCCGACGCACTGATGTGCATGACGCCGCGCGGGCTCTGGGATCTCGACACCGGCAAGCCGACCGGCGAACACACCGTCGAAGCGCGGCGCGTCATCGAGGAGGGCATGCAGTCCGCCGAGGGCCGTCACCACCCGGCGCTCTGCCACCTGCACATTCACGTCATGGAGATGTCTCCGTACCCTGAGCTGGCGCTCCCCGCGGCCGACCGGCTGCGGTCCCTCGTCCCCGACGCCTCGCACATGCTGCACATGCCGACGCACATCGACGCCGCGGTCGGCGACTATTGCCGCGCCGTCGACTCCAATCACCTCGCCACCTTGGCCGACGACAAGTATTTCAGTCCCCAAAGCCTCTCGTTGCTTCCCGGCGGCTCGCTCACCTACATCGCCTACCGCGTGCACTACATCTGCGCCAAGCTGTACGCGGCGATGATGTCGGGCCGGTTCGCCGACGCCATGTCCGCCGCCGAGAAGCTGGAAGCTGTGCTCGATGACCAGTTGCTGTCCATCGAGAGTCCGCCGGTGGCGGACTCGGTGGAAAGCTTCGTCGCGAGCAAGGCGCACGTGCTCATCCGCTTCGGGCGCTGGGAGGAGATCCTCACTCTTCCCCTCCCGGCGAACCGCGAGCTCTACTGCGCCTCGACCGCGGTCATTCTCTACGCACGCGGGCTGGCGTTCAGCGCGCTAAGCCGGATCCACGAAGGGGAGCTCGCGCAAAGGGAGTTCGAAGCGGCGCGCGCTAAGGTCCCGGAGTCCCGGCTGAACAGCATTCCATGTAAACAGGTGGATGTTCTGAGCGTTGCCTCGGCCATGCTGACGGGGGAGCTGGAATACCGCAAGGGGAATCACGAGGTGGCGTTCGCGGCGCTTCGGGAAGCCATCCGCCGCGAGGATGCGTTGCCCTACTCCGATCCGCCGCCGTGGATGCAGCCCGTGCGCCATGCCTTGGGCGGTCTGCTGTTGGAGCAGGATCGGGTGGCAGAGGCCGAGGTCTTGTTCCGCGAGGATCTAGGGTTTGCCAAGGACTATCCGCGGCGCAGGGCGAAGCTGAACAACGTGTGGGGGTTGCATGGGCTGTATGAGTGCTTTACGCGCCAGGGGAAAACTGACGAGGCGGTGTTTATCCAGTCGGCGCGGGATATTGCCGTCGCGACGGCCGATGTTTTGGTTAGGGCTTCGTGTTATTGCCGCGTGTCGGCTGTGGGAGAGAAGCAGTGTTGTATGTAGGATTTGATCATTGGACATGCAGATGCTAATTCAATCAACCGAGACGGGCGTGTAAGATGTGCATATATACTATTCCTAGCTAGCTATCTGGCTGCTCCCGTTGCGTAGCCCCTCAAGTGCTACTTTGCTACCAGCCAGGGTAAGGCATACTTCGAGCCTGGCCAACCGCTCAGAGATTACCCTGTCCCGCGTTACTCGGCACCGTCGTCTTGATCGCCGTGTACGCTGACGCGGTCGCGATATTCTTGCCTTCAAAGTTGACCAAGAAAGCGGTGTCGGACTGCGAGAAGGTGCCCGAGCTCCCGAACCCGTTGATCTGGCACGCGCGGCCAAGGTAGGTCGAGCACACTGCGTTGGTTGTCGAGTCGGGGGAAGTGAACAGCTGACCCGACACCGGAGACTCGACGGGAGTGTCGATGTTCTGGAAGACGTTGCCTTCGGCCAGTACGTAACCGCCACTGCCAATCTCGAACGAGTGGCCGTCGGAGTCGTACCAGTAGTTGTTGACCTAGTCACTCATTGTTAGTTGAGTTTCCGGTTCGCATGATACTTCATCCTGGGAAAACTTCGCTTACGGCGTGTAGAAGGGTGTTGCCTTGGACCTTCGGGCTCCGGCCGCTGAAGTGATAGATATAGTTCTTCTGGAGAGTGACCAGATCGGACGAGCCGTCGAAATATAGACCCCAGTATGCGTAGCCGTCACACGTTGCGCTGTAGCTGGTGACACCGTTGAAGTACGAGTTGGAGATGGTGACGCGGTTGTCGGCGCTGGTGCCGAGGACGACGTGCTGGCGGCCAATGCGGGCGGTCTATTCGCTTGTTAGCTAAGCTGGACGAGAGGATGCCCGCACTGTGCGAGCTCGAATAGGGCAAACAGAGCTTGGTTGAAGAGAAGACCAAGACGGGGCTGCGGGTGACGAACCGTGACATGGTCGATCCAGACCATATCGGCGTCGTCGAGGGTGATGGCATCACCACCCCAGACGTATTTCTCGTTGATATCTGTGATTGCAACGTTCCTAGACCAGGTTAGCAGAAGGCATTAGTCGTAGCCGATCGAGACTGACTGAATAATGATGTTGCTAGCACCGCTGACAATGCGAAGACCCTTGCCCTTAATGATACCGGTGGATCCGACGCCGATAAGGGTCTTGTCCGATGCGACAGTGATACCCAACACACCAGCGTTATCGCTATCACAGTGTCAGCGTTCGAAGGTTTTAGATCGGACAGAGAATAGACACGTACTATGTCACGGAGACACTTGGAGCGTCGGGCTCATAGTTCGTACACCAGTCATTCTGGTTAATGGCGAGCTGGCAACCGCTCGCAGTCGTCCAGGGTGCACATCCGGTGGCCGTAGTGGTACCCTCAGTGCCAGTGAAGTCAAAGCTATGTCAGTTAACTCATGATTTTGTTGACAGATGTCGAGATGGACGTATTCATCTGTCTGAGATGGCATCATCCCCAGCCCCCGCGGGCGGTGGGCCGAGGGGCTAATCAGGTGCCATCACACCCCGACGTCATGAATGTCACTTAGGGGGAGGTGATTAGGGCTAGGGAGATTGCACTCACGTTTGCTGCAGAACAATCACTCGCGCCGAAGAGTCACCGAGGTACGAGACCAGCTCATCAGTTGTGGTAGGATAAACCGGAGTGGCACTACCACCACCAGTGACACCTTTTGCGAAGCCCTCTGCCGCACCGGAAACACTCACGGCTGTGGCGAGCTGGGCCGCAACGGCCAAAACACTGAGAATCGTGATCAATGCCATATTGCAGGTTATCGTTACTGTCTGGCCGTGCTCTAATCTCAGCCCGCAGAGTATAACTCCTTTATATGTCTTTTCCAACCCCACCGGGCTCAACAGAGGGAATTCTTGGCTAGTAGCACCTAAAGCGACTACTAGCCATGAAGAGCAGTGGGGCCGGTGACAAGTGACTAGAGAATGGTGGATTAGTGAATATCCGTAAATTGGAAACCATGTGGTGAAGTTCCTCGGCGTTGATTGATGGAGGCGCGCCACAAAGTTTCCCGTCCTGTGCGGAGTACTTCCCGTGTGCTGAATCTGCCGGCTGGGGGCCAAGGTGTCAGTGCACCCACTAGGACGCAAGAGAGCATGAAGAGAAGCGGGGCTAGCCCCAAGAGCCTAATTACTAGTGCCTTGTCAAATTGCATTAGAGTAAAATGTTTGGGCGGTGTTCCTTAAAGACTGATTGACGGAGGGGTTGTCCCATCATTTCCGCCGTTTGCGGAGATTTGTCCGTGGGGCTATAGTATCCTTCAGTATAAGGGGGGACGATGGGTTGACTGCCAAGGGGTCTGGGAAGATGCCACTGTTCTCTCAGTGTGAAGCGATCAATAATATCCTGTTGCCACTAATGGATATTGGTTGCGAGATTTATCGTGGGCTCCTGTGGTGACAAAATAGACCCAGTGTCATCACCTTTACTGGTTGCATTCCGAGATCAAGGAACCGGAAGACTAATGCATATAACGCAGTTTGTTAACTTTTGCATGGTCGATATGATATGGCGACAAAGATAAGCACATCGGGTAAAAACTTATGAGAATGCTTGATGGCGCCATTGGTTTTGTGAGTATCAGTCCAGTCACTCAAAACTAGAGATATTGAAAGCAAAGTGATCTTATTCCCGCCGGTAGACCGTTAGGTATGTATCCACTTTTATCGATGTTTTTCTGCCTGTTATCTAGCCTGTCTGCTCAAGGAATTTCCTATTCGTGCCATTGAATACCGAAGGCGTAGTATTATTTCCAAAACGCAGATAAGACAAAGGAAGAGACTACAGTGTCATTCTAGCCTCAGCTCTAAAAGGCGAGCTAAAAGGCTCCCTCAATCGAATTCACACTTGTCCCTACTACGGATGCTCGCAGTACCAGTAGGTCCATGTCATCCGTCGCTGTCGCTGCAGCTAATAGCCGTGCATTGAACCGGAGCCTACATCCAGTGCCTATGTAATTGATGCAGTTTATTATTTCGAACATCCCCATCCAAGCCGTGCTCGAGGTGAATCTGGAGATACAGTAAAGCCGATAGTGTACCTAGAGTTTGAGGTCAAAGAGGGGCGGATCGTAAAGGATAGACTCGTGATTAGACTTTACCCATCAGTTGACCTGGGAAAGGCATAGAGCACATTTTGACGGAGAGTGTATGCCACAATCATGAATCTTTGTTGTGTAAATGGGCTCAAAGGACAAACGTCGTCAAGATAGGTTTCAAGACAGTGAGGGAGGGTATGCATGGTCGTAGTCCCCGTTGCTTGTGATGAAACTCGGCATCATTTTGCTTTGAGCGCCGCGCTGACGAACAATGAGCATTGTGAGGTAGTTGAGTACTACTCTAAAAGCACGTTTCTCCGGTGATCTCCATGTGATATATCTTTCTGCAGCCTCCAAAGCAATAGGTCCTCACGTCAAATGTTCAATCTCACTCTCCACAGCAGTAGACATGTCGCAACGTAAAAGTATAAAGTGCGAAACTGCACCCTGGTAAGAGAATCAGTGTGCCCACTCATTCTCTCCACCCTTCACTCATAGCCCATCCCTTTCGAGACTCTCTAATCATCGTAGCAAATCAAGACCATGGCACCCATCACTTGCCTAGACGCTATTGCCCTGGCACTGTGGGGGGCTGTAGACACGGATTGCAGCATCAAAAAGGTCAGCGCGACGCTCACGATCTTCGACATTCGCGGGAAACATTGGACAGTGCCGGTGATACACTCCATCAACAATACCGGCCACGCTGGCTACAGCACGGTCATCGTGCCCGGTTATGTGAACATAAGTGAAGATGACGTGAGCTTGCGCCTGGGTCAGTGCCAGATGGACATGGGGTCAAGCTTCGGGAATGCGAAGCCTTCCTTTGGGGCGATTGACCGTGGCTCCAGCGATCCAGCAGTCCCCGATGCCCCGTGCCGGCTCCACCAGTCCACGTTCCGGTTCCGCTATCAACGTGCTCGGCCTGAGCCCGATGGACCAGAGGAGATTGTCGTCGCTGCGGAAAGGGTTCCAGGACCGATTATCGCTGAAGCACTACGGTTGATGTCTCGCATTAATGAAACTCGGATGGCGCAGCTGGGGCTAAATGGTCAACCAGCACCCTGAAGGCTGTACATTTACTTCCTCAGTAGATTTCAGTATGTACGCAGGCAGGATTTGAATTATGAAATGTTAGGCATTATTGAATAAAATCACTTTTTATACTCGGTCAGTGTTTTCGTAAACGATAAATTAGCCCCGTAGCTGCAGGCTTGTTTCGCTATGCAACGAAGCCAGTGTTACCCATACGCTGCGGACCTGGGGTTATACTGACCTTCTCTGAAGTGAGACATAAGTCCAGAATTGGGAATGTTTTATTACCTCGCAATGCGATGCAAGACGCTCCGCACCTTGTCAGGCTCTGTTTGGAGCCTCAAGCCATGCTGAGCTTAGATATGAACGTCAGCAAACTTAAGTCATCAGCTACAACACACCACGATCAAACATCGACAAATTTGTTAATATGATATCCCTCTATCTTAAGACCAGACTTTCTTTGTGAAGAACACATTCATCTCACGAGATCTGCCCCAAAGGGCTCTTACCGAACAGACCCACTGCCATAAGATAAGTAAGCATGAGAGCCACTTTCAAATTCTTTTTAGATTCGGTGTATAACGAATCCGGTTCATGCTATTTAATGCCACGCTGGCACATTGCTGCGCTTCGCTCTGGGAGACAGCAATTTGCTGGAGACTATCTGGAGACTATCTGGGATGAATGCTTCCTACGAGGAAAGAGCTTGTGCTATGCAATGCACTTAAGTAAGCTATGCTGTTATATAGAATCATGGTTTCACCGATACTCCATAGACAAATTATACATCCTCTCTAGCGCAGCTGTCATGTACTACAAACTACCCTTTCACATCTACATCCCAGCTCTTCATGCATTGGCCGTCCTCGTCATCCTCATCCCCCAAAATTTTAAATGACTGGATGTGTAGGAGGTGTAATGAAGCGGGATCTCAAGAGGTGTAATGCACATGGTGTAATCCACATCGCACATGACCGAGAAGTCGTGTACATGTACTTCGACAGCTGTAGCCGGTATTCTAAGCGGTCATTTCAATACCAGTAATTGCCGCATGCGGGTGGTTGCGGCACGGATGGTTCAACCAAACAAGGAGGCTTGTCCAGTTGACCCGAAAATGGGTATGATCAGCCCCACTTGTTGACGGGTATGCTTCCCCGCATCTGGTCCAATACATCTAATACCTCACACATGAATAAGGTACTATCAAGCGTTGACATCTTTTGTTCGCGGACTGGTTCTACTTTCTTCTAGTACAGACTTTCGAGAGATTTGGTAAGATTGAGGTCAAGGGTGACACTCACTCTGTGGCTTATCGTCTGGTGGACACTGCGCTGTCAGCTTATCGGGGTATGTACGATATCTTATCAGCAAGGGGCTCTCTCTCTCCTTGGCGGCCGTGCACGGCTTGTTCACAATGCAGATAAGCCTAATTCCCCAAAGGAGGGGCAAGCTGCATCTCTCCCCAAGATTCTGTTATAAATAATGCAAAGCCCCCTCTCCTCGCCGCCACTGTCTATTTTCTTTGCACCTAATTACCCCTCTCCCTACCTTATACACGACACTCACCCACAACCACCAAAATGTACAACCCGAAAATTGGCGACCCCCTCTCCGCCCTCGACACCCCGTCGATGATCGTCGACCTGGATTTAATGGAGACCAACATCCACAAACTCTTCTCCACGCTTCTCCCGACAGGTCGCAACATCCGACCCCACCTGAAAACCACCAAAAGCGCCGCCCTCGCCCGGAAACTCGTCGCCGCCGGCGCCAAGGGCTGCTGCGTGGCCAAAGTGTCAGAAGCGGAAGCGATCACCGCCGCCGGCTTCGACGACATCCTGATCACGTGCGAGATCATCGGGGCCCCCAAGGTGCAGCGGCTGGTGGAACTGGTGAAAAAGCACCCGGGGATCCGGATCGTGGTGGACAGCGCGGTCGGGGCGACGGCCATCGATGCGGCGCTCGGGAAAGCGAACGTCAACACACCTCTGGCGGTGCTGATCGATCTGGATGTCGGGCTGCACCGCACGGGAGTGGCGGATACGGCTGCGGCACTGGAACTGGGGAGGCATATCGCCGACAATCTCAAGCATCTGAGGTTGATCGGGGTGCAGGGGTATGAGGGCCACTTGCAGCATTTGCACAGTCGAGAGGAGCGGAAGAGGGAGTGTCTAGCCTCGATGGCGATCTTGACTGGCACGGCGGAGGCGCTGGGCAAGGACGGACACAAGATTGAGGTGGTCACGACGGGGGGCACGGGCACCGCGGAGTTCTGTGCCTCTGTGCCTGGGGTGACGGAGCTGCAGCCGGGGTCGTTTATCTTCATGGATACGGATTACCGCAATGCCGTGGGCGGGTTCTATGCGAATAGTCTGACGATCTTGTCGACGGTGATTAGTCGGCAGGGGGAGCGGCAGGTCACTATTGATGCGGGGTTGAAGTCGTTGACGACCGATAGTGGACTGGCGGAGTGTAAGGATGCGAAGTACGCCCATCTGAATCTCGGGGATGAGCACGGGGCTTTAAGTTGGGAGGCGGGTACCACCGATTTGCAGATTGGTGATCGGGTGGAGATGGTCCCCAGCCATATTGATCCGACGATCAATCTGCATGACTTTTACTATGCGCATCGGAATGGGGTGATTGAGGAGATCTGGTCGGTGGACTCGAGGGGCAAGGTCCAGTAGATGGGAATTCTCTTCATGGGCTCTTCGCACAATTCCGAAGATCATGATGCAGCAACGAATGCCATCCAATGTGTGCACCCCTTTCACAATTCATATTCAATCAAAGGCTTCTGGCCTAGCTTGCGGCCGCGGCAGTGCTGAAGTAATGTAACAGCCTACCTAACACGGTGTTGATCCTAACCTCTATGGCAATGACGTCCTCAGCTTCAAACGACTGTCCCCTCAGGGATATCCCTGTTCGACTCGTCTACTTCGTATCATCACCCTTTAATTCAGGCCCTCCGCACCCTCAACTTTACCGGCAGCGGCGCTTTGACCCAAACCGCGTATGTCTCCTGATCCTCCCACCGACCGAGATCACCCTCCGCCTGCAGATCGAAACAATACAAAACTTTCCCCAGGATGAGTACAATCTCCATGCGGGCTAGGCTCTGTCCGATACAATCCCGCGGGCCCTGGAGAAATGGCTGCGACGCGCGTCGACGGTCCTTCTCGAATTTACCTTCCGGCCGCAGCCAGCGCTCGAGGTGGAAGCTCGTAGGGTCGGCATAGTTGCGCGGGGAGACGTTGGCGGCCCATTGCATGTAGGAGAAGACTGTCTAGATTGCAACATGAGTTAGTCTTGGGGTTAATGGCTTATCGCATTGCAGATGTCTCTGAAAGTTAGGGAACGGATTAGGGCTACTTACCCCCTCAGTGAAGAAGTCGCCCGCAATGGTATGGCCACCCCCGGCAACAAGACAGGTCAACCCGAGCGGCACGGGCGACGTGAGTCGGATGCTCGAGACACTTGATTTGTCGGCCAGCAATAGAATGCCCTGGTACATCATCTCAATAGCCAGTCTTGCGCTTATCTACCTGATTACCCGGCACTGGCTTAGCACCACCAGGGCTGGCAATGCTGCCTTCAACGCATCCTTCGTGGGTTTCTGGTATGCCTGGCTCGCTCGCTTCCAGTTCTTTGTCTCCGCCGAAAAGATTGTCGAGCAGGGATACACGCAGTACAAGGACCGACCGTGGAAACTGACGGGCAACGATGTTCTCGTTTTGCCGCACAAGTACTTGGAAGGGATACGAAAGCTGCCTCCGAACGAGGCGAATGCCATGAAGGCCAATCTAGACAACATACAGAGCAAGTACACGCACCTGGAGGTACTCAACTCGACGCGGTTGTTCGTCATCCGACGAGAAAGTGCGTACAGCACAGTACGATACCTTGGGCAAAATAACACATAACCCTGTGGAGGCTCTCACCTCTCTGGCAATCAGAGATCTACAAAGTAGCTTAGAAGTCCACGCTTAATGCTTTGCCCCCAACGCGACCAATGTATGTATACATATTGCGCCGGAGTAGAGGAGTGAAATCTGTAATATTACGACGGAATTGAACAAACTGACTTCTGTAGATCCTTAAGAAGTACACAAATTCCACGGCACACTAAATCAAGACCCAACAAAAGCAAGCCCCTGCAAATCATTCCCCCACCCCCCTTTAAAGCACCTATCATTCTAAGATCACCAAACCACAACCCTAGCAGCCTCACACCTTAGTGGAGACTACCTCTACCTCTTTCTCAACACCATCGCCCCTGTCATTGACCGGTTCATCCATATCATGTTCATCCTCCGCCGCGCCAGTGCGCACCCCCGTCTTCCCGAGCATCGAGATCGGCGGCGCCAGCACACTGACCAGAACCGCGGCCGCCCCACAGAGGGCCAGCGTCAGTATCCACGCCCCATGGATCCCCACCGAATACGCTCGACGCACCCCCTGCACGCCAGTTTCCCCGAACATGCTCGCCAGCTTGGAAGCCCCTGCCTCTAGGACCTTGTGGGCTGAGACCCCAGGCGCATATTGCGGCAGACTCTGGATGACGCGGTTCCCGAAAATGCTTTCACCTGCTGCGAGGCCGACCAGCCCGCTGCCTAGTTGGAAGACTGTTGTTTATTTGTCAGTCTGCGGCGCTCAGAATAGACGTGTGGCAAAAGCCAATGCACATACACAGCACCAAAGCCGTCACGGTTGGAAGATCCTCCTGGTCCACGGAGGCCTGCACGGCCGTCACGAGCACCTGCACGCAGATCCCGTCGCCCGCGCCCGCCAGGATCTGATATCCGATGATCTTTGCAGATGAGCTGGTCAGGTTAAGTGTGTAAATTAGTCCGGAGCCGATGGTGACTAGGCATGCCCCTATCAGTAGTAAGGGCTGGTAGTGTCCGACTTTGTTCAGGATCCCGCCCGCAAGCATAGTGAAGATGGCTGGATGCGGGACGTCATGTTAGTTGTGTTGGGTAGCACTGGAGTGGGGACGGGAACGAGGGTCAACGTACACGTGGGGACATTATAGGCCAGAAGCAGAATCCCGCTGCGTTCTGGCGAAGCGTTCTTGATCGCTTGGAAGTAGAGAGGGAGGTAGTAGACGCGGATTTAGTTGGCCGCGTTGAGACTATCACAGTCGGGTTAGCGCCGAAGGACAGACGTTTTTGCAGGAGAGAAAGATGAGGCTTGGCTCACAAGAAAACAAAGACGCAACTGATCAATACACCCCGGTTGCGGAGATATCGCGATGCCACTACCGCCTCTTCACCCTGGAACCACTCGACTACCCCGAAGAGCAGGGTCAGGGTAACCCAGCCGATCAGCAGGCCCACAGGCTGCGCAGAATGCCAGGCTCTCGTTATTCCACCCTGTTCCAGCGCTAATAGATCGCAGATGAGAGCACCGGTGATAACCATACGGCCTGGAAGATCGAGTTTCGAGACGATCTCCCATACCGGAATGGTGGTTGGGCGGGAGCTGCGAGGAAGATGCAGAGTCAGGAGAAGCGCGGCAATGGCCACGCCCCCTAGCGGAAGATTGATATAGAAGCTTTGCAAATGTACACCTCAGATTAAGCAAAGAGGAAGTATGTAAATTTGGAGAATACTGACCACCATCGCCAAGTCACGCTAGAGGTGAAGGATCCTCCGATCAAGGGGCCAGCGACGCTCGCGGCCGTGAAAATGATTCCATTCAACCCATAGAAGATCGGGACCTTCTCCGGAGGCACAATATGGGCGAGAAAAATATACGTGCCTGATATCACGCCGGCACCACCGAAGCCGGCACTGGTTTTGGAAACCGCTGAGCTCTTAGTCAGAACACCCCCTCAGTTGGACAGATACAGGGAGGGGCTAAGGAAGGGGTTGAACGCACCGCACCCGAGAGGGCCCAGCTCGAAACTGAGAATCGCGCCGACAAACGTGTGTATGATGGCGCAATATCGGTAGAGCTTTCCCCCGAACGACTGGAAAACGCACATAGTCAGGAAAAACGCGGAACCATACCAACCCACGTCGTTTAAGCTGTGGAACTCATGAGTTATTCTGGGCAAAGCAGCAGATGGTCGTCTTCGAAATGTTGGGCGCCAAAATGTTAGCATGGTATGTATTTCTGAGGATCATCCGTTATCGCGCAATACCAGATCCAAAGCAGTCCGTAGGATGAAGCCATTAGCTTGCGCGACGACGAAAAGCAAGAGAAGATCACAACATACTAGAAACATTCCTCGTAAGAGAGCCAAGATGGTGATTGTGGATTGCAAGCTGGGACTTCGCTTTTCTCCGCTCGCCAACCCATCTTCCTTGTTTGGAGAAGGGGAGCGTTCCTGACTGGAAGTGTCCATGCTATTCAAGCTGTCGTCATTCAGAAAGTAGGCGCTTATATTGCCTATGTGAGTCCTAGAGAGAGTGAAGGCACGTTACAAGATGTCAGGAGTTAATTTACCAAGCTTTTATGTTGACGGCAGTGGCTTGGACTGTGCGGGTTATGTGGGTTGATTGCCAAACTGCCCTAGGTCAGGGGTATCTCCTTCTGGCCCCAACCAGGCCTGATAATCTGCGGAGGTCAGCAGCTTTCTCCTGCATGCAATACACATGGAAAATCCAAAGTAACTGGGCTTGCATAACCGCAGGATTGTTATTTGATCGCGGGTACGCCCACCTCTTCCTCGACGTTTCGAGCCCGAAATCATCTCGTCCAGCACACCAGCATCATGTCAGGTTTTCTGCCAGTGAGATTGTAAACCCTAAATGTAAACCCCTGATTGAATGCTAGAGGTTGCGAATGGCATCGGTCGGCATATCATAACATTGACCGCTCATGAATCCATTATGCAGATGAAGGTGGGTATTCGATGACAGAGACAGCCAAACTCGTACACGATCGCAATTGCATTGACAATGATGGCCAGTGGAAAGTGGTCAACCTGCATTCCTACACGATCGCCATCATAACCATTAAACTATCGATCCTGGCTCTCTTGGCCCGAATCTTCAGCACAGCTCCACGTAGCTTCCACATCGGCATTTGGATGCTAATTGAGTGGATGATTCTGTGGGCGGCTGCCCTGGTATTGGCCTACTGCGTCCAGTGCCGACCCTTTGCCAGCCAGTGGGATCCCCGCAACTACTGCCACTCCCGCCTCAAGCTCGAATACTCAGCCAGTATCCTGAATGCCGTCCACGATGTGCTGACATTCTGCCTGCCTCAGCGGATCATCTGGAATTTGCATCTAGCCGCCCGCAAGAGATTGGCTGTCAGCATGGCCTTCTTTATTGGATTTGTGTATGTTTAACGTCGGAGACTACCTAGTAGTCTTCACACGGTTGTTGGACCTGGCTGATCCTATCGTCTAGGGCACTCCTGAAGATCGCGTACATTCAGGGTGCGCCCGGTACGAGTCACAAGTCAGATACCTGTAAGTTTGTACCGGTCGCCTTCTCTTGAACCATGGTGTTTAACACATTTAAACCATAGATGCGATTGCTCCAGCGCTGATCAACGCCCTGGAGCCCCTTCTAGCATCGATCTGCTCTTGTCTGCCCGCCATTCCGTACTTCTTCTGCCACGTTCGTTTGGACGGCTTCTACCAACTCTCAAGCTTCTTCCGCTCCACAAGGCGTTTGCACGGTTCAAGGCATTTCGCCATCAAAAATAGCAGCGCCAGCCCGCGTTACCCTCCCTCCAAGGGCTTGTCAAGGGAGTCGACCACAGAACTAGCGCAAGCGGTCACTAGAGGTGGTTTAGCTGAAAAGCAGCGAGTGAGCATCACTAACGCAAACCACGCAATCATGGCCAGTCATTCCCGATCGAGAAAATGCCAACAAACCCATGCGCCTGTTCTCGATGGTAGCGGCAACCATAGAATTGTATTTGTTTGTTGTTGGTTACACAAATACACAGGGATCGGGATTTGCAAGTCGAGCTGAATGTATTGTACCGTACTGTACTGTCCCAAGCACAATACAAGAACTATGGTAAGGTACCCTCTTCTTCAAGCTGTCTCCATTCAAAGATACCAGAATGAATCCCCCACAGCCTTGCCCTCCGACACCCAGACCTTAATGCAGGCAAATTGCAGGACAAATGGGCAAGCACCCTGATACTGGGAGCTGACTGGATGGTGTCCTCGTAGCGCAATTCAGACCACCAGCGCTATATATCCTCGCATGCTCTTCACCACCGTGCTGGTGCGGACGGTCAAACTCTGGGCCGGCGGTCCTCTCAGAAATTTGCCGAGCGACTGTATACAAATGGCGCTTGTCCTTCTGAACACCCTACTGTAGAAAACACTACTACAACAACAGGGCCGGGCAAGCGGCTCCTGGCAGGGATTGTTGGAGATTACGGCTTATGCTGTTTTGACCATGGCCGCGGTGTCCAACAGTGCAGTTAGAAGCGTTGCCGTGGAGGAGTTGCGCAGAGGCATTGTCTACGGGCGCGCTTTTCTCGAAGTCAAACTACACAAATTGGGGAAGGAACAACCTGTCTGGGTCGAGAAGGTGCTATTCCACTCTCCCTTGCTATGCAGTGGTTTCTGCATTGCCGCTCTGCAAGCCCCGAGCTTTACTGCGGAGGTTCCCATCCGCCAGCCGCGTACAGTGGTGGTGAATGTGCCCACCACGACCCTAGAGAAATTCCGCCAATTCTATTCCCTTCTTCCGCTTCTGGCGGGCGAGCCCACGTGGCAGCTCAGACTCTGCTTGAACGAAGCCGGCTTGTGGTACCCCGGACTGGCGGCACAGCGTCACTCCATCTTCCCCCGTGATGGCATGAGCCCAGACGGATACCTGGAGTACATCCCACAAACCGTGGACGCCGTGCAACACCCGCAACAGACGCGCAATGGAGCCAGACCTGATGTGGGAGAGGACGATGATCTCCATGCTGAACAACCAGGTCAACGAGTTTCTTGAATCAGTGGTCGGATGAGGAGAGTTTGAGGTGGGGGTTGTTTGGATTGTCAGAATGGGGTGTAACAGCGCACTGCGGCCGGGGTTTGGGTCGCCTGGGTTTTTGGGTGGGATATGATTTCGATTTCCATCATAGATTGCTTTGACTGGTATCATTCGTGGATTGATGATGCAGGAACCTACTCGGTCGGATGATTGAGAAGGATGATTCGTGACATTGTGACGCTGTAAAGCTTTTGGGGACACACGCGCTGTACAGGGAGAAAACCTTCGACCCAAGGGGGTAACGCAAGTATTTGTGGAGAATCGAAGGATATTTCAAGAAGCCGTACGGCGACATCGTGCTATATATTGGTGCGAAATGAGGATTATACGTACAACTGAGAGGGAAAATCAAAGGAAATTTAAAGAGCAGCGCTATCTAAAGTCTTTCTACATGCGCCCACAGCAAGGCGCCGATATGTCAATGCAGATGCGAACGAAGCCCATCTAGCAGAAAGCAAAGCATAAACAAGCCCAAATCACAAAAAGTCACAAATAGAAGCCAGGCTTGACTTCCCCTTTCCCGTTGGAACTCCTATAAAGTAATCCACACTCTCGATCGTGCTCATTACTTTGTCCTCCGTCTTTGTCCCCGTCCCTTGGTGATCCAGACCACACAATACAAGAGCACGATATTTGAGCAGCAGAACCCCAGAAAGGCCGCCCAATTCCACCACCGCTGGCCGTACCCATACTCCAAGGTCGACAGGTAGTCGTCTCCAACCGTGTACGGACAATACCCGCAGTCCGCGGTTGCGTTGGGGTTAACCAGATACCCCGGGTTGTGATCCAGATACAGCTGTCCCCGGCTGCTGGGACCAACGTACTGGCCGCAGGACAGACCGGGAGGAGGCTCAAAGCGAACGAGTTCCGCGGAACCACAGTCTACAGGGACATCATGCAGGACGACCCCGACGGTAGCGCCGAAGAAGTAGCGCATGGGGTCGACCCAGAACAGCCAGGGGCGGTAGAAGTCGTTCATGTAGGCGTGAGGGGTGAGGACGCCGGAGCAAACCATGAGGATGACCCAGACGAGGGAGTTGGCGTAGCCGGCCAGGGTGGGGTCGGGGAAGCAGGCGGCCAGCAGCTGGGAGTAGCCGATACTGAACAGGGCGAGGAGCAGCCAGGTGAAGTAGTAGAGGCCGGCGACGGCGGAGACGCCCGCGGGGAACCCCACGGTCCAGTATGTCCCCAGAAACACCAGGGTGTAGATCCCCAGCTGCCAGGGGATCTCGACGGCGACGAGCGCGGTCACCAGCGCCCGCCAGTCGTAGATGCCGTTCTGCTCGCGCGCGCTGAAGATCGCCCACTTGCGGAACCACATGTCCTGCAGGTCGGCGCTCGTTGTTGGGATGATCCACGACAGCAGCAGTACCGCAATCATCTGGTTCTGCAGGCCCTGTAGGCTGGATCCGGCTTTGAAGAAGCTGAAGGCGATGAAGAGGGAGACGAACAGGCTTTTCGCCGTCTTGCTGAACAGGTACATCCCATCGCGCCAGACGGAGAGCCAGTGGCGCTGTGTCACGGAAACGGTTTGCGACCAGAGTGATAGGGCGTATGCTGATTGGGATGAAGAGAGGATAGGAGAATACGGTGGCTCGGTGGTGATGGGAGTGGAGTTCAATCGAACGAGGGTCGCCTCGAGGGCGTTGCGTTCCGGAGACTCGCGCCAGATGGCGGGCCAGTCCTTCGAGCCCTCCTCCTTGGAGGTCACAGTCGACAGGATAAACTCCGCGGGGTTCGCCTGGCTATCGATTGTGGCGCCGTATCGTCCGAAATACTCGACGACTTGGGACGAGTTCTCGCCGGTCTCGCCAAAGTAAACGGTCTGGCCCCCCGGCGCCAGGAGCAGGACATGGTCAAACATCTCGAAAAGAACCCCCGACGGCTGGTGGATGGTGCAGACGATGGGAATCCCCTCGGCAGCGATTCGCTGCAGGAACTGCACGAGCGCAAAGGCCGCTTGACTGTCCAAGCCCGAAGTGGGCTCGTCGAGAAACAGGAGCGAGCTGGGGCGCGCCGCCAGCTCCACCCCGATCGTGACGCGCTTCCGTTCCTCAACGCTGAGCTGCCCGTCTCCGGGCTCGCCAATGAGGGCATCGGCAAGCTCTTCCAGGTCTAGCAAGTGGATGATGTGCTCAACGTAAGCCAACTTATCCTCCTCCGCGACATCGGCGGGCTGGCGCAGACGCGCGGAGAACTGCAGAGCTTCCCGCACCGTAGCATTGGGTTCGTGCACATCTTGCTGCATGACGAATCCGCAAGACCGGGCAAAGGACGGGTCCAGGGGCGCTCCATTGAGACGCATAGCCCCCGTGATCCGACCGGTGCTCTTGCGTTGGGCGAGGGTATCCAGCAACGTTGTCTTCCCAGCGCCGGAAGCCCCCATTAGGGCTGTCAACTGGCCCGGGCGAGCATACCCGCTCACATCGCGAAGCAATTGTCTTTCCTTCCCGGCCACTGGAACGAAGTAGCTGACCTCCTGGAAAGTGAATGTGCGGGCTGCCTCTCTCGAATGGCCAGTCTCGACTTTCTCCAGTGCATGGGATGCGGGGGGTCCGGTGACCGACTGTGTCGCGGACGAGGACCCCGAGGAAGAGCTGGTCGGGGACTTGGGCTGGTTCTCCTCATCGCGTTGCTTGGACTGTTTGAAGATCCGACCGTGAGATCCTCCCGATTCGCGTGTCATGATGGTGAGTCCAATGCATCCCAGTACCACATAGAGGAACCACATGACCAGAATGATGCCGAAATTGCGCCACAGGTGGCTACGCGTGTAGCCAAAGTGATCCGCCAGATACACCGAGCCAGGGACTGATTGATGTCCCATGGTACTCCCAGTGATACTGCAGGTCTGGTACTGCAACTGGGTGTAGTTCGACCCGGACGGAACCATGTCGCTGTCGGCACAAGTCAGGGTGATTCCATCCAACTCATTGGCCAGCAATGCTTCCAGCGCGTATGGCGACGGCGATGCGCGGCGCAGCCATGAACCCCATCGTCGCTGGGTAGGCCGGGTCGGACCGAACCCCGAATACAGCAGACCTACAGGGATCGCGCTGCCGGCCATCATCAGGGTCAGCGAGATGTTGGGGACCCAGGCGCCGAGCATGCGGAACAGGCTCTGAACAGCCGCATAATGAGTGAAGACAAGCAGGACAAAGATCCAGAAAGCGGACGCTGTCTGTTGAAGGCCGATCTCGAAGTAATACAGGCAGGCAAACAGGAGACACTGAATGAAGGCGATTGGAATGTCGGCAAGGGTCTGGGCGATGACGAACGCGCTTGGATGGATAAACCCATATTGGACCTGCTTAAACAGGATGTTACGCGACTTGACTGTGGAGACGGCCTCCGTCAGGGCATTGAGATAGAAATAGATCAGGGAGAAGAACAAGGCGCTGCTCTTCTCGTACGTGCCGGTGACATCCTTGGGAGCCATGTAGTATGCCGGACCGTTAATCACCGCGTTGAGGGCGACAAAGGCAACAAGAGTCAGAAACGTCCACTTGTCGCCCCACAGCAGCTGGTAGTACCGACGCATGACAACCCAGATCTGCTTGGCCAGCGTGCTTGGGGCGATCGCCTGCTGTGGCACCCACGACGAACGGATCTGGTGTACATTGTCCCGGAAGGCTTGGACCCGCTGGCCATCGCGGGCCATTTCCGTCTGATACCGGACAATATCCTCTTGCAACTGACGATACTCCATGCTCTCCCGGAATGCGGCGGCGAGGCCATCGGGATCGGTGGGCACCGGTCCTGCCGCATCCTTTCGGACAAGACGCTCTGCAGGGGAGGTGACGGCGGTCAGGAAATCCGGGGTGGTCTGGCGGTGGCGACACTCAAAGCCCAGCCTCAGGAAGTAGTCTTTGGCTTGGTCGGCTCGGCCGCAGAAGATCAGCCGGCCGTCGTACAGAACGGTGACCCGGTCGAAACATTCATAGATGGTTTCAGACACCTGGTACATGGACACAGCATTGCTCATCCCAGATTCCGCCGAGAGGGAGGTGATGAGCTGCACAAATTCGGTGGCGGAGGAGCTGTCTAGGCCGCGGGTGGGATTGTCCCAGGCGGCAAAGGTAGGGTTGACCGATAGGGCTTCGATCAAAGTCACTCGCTTGCGCTCTCCGCCAGAAACCCCTCTCACGAAGGCATCGCCCACAATCGTGTTGGCAGTGTGAGACAGTCCGACAGCCTTCAATGAAGACTCGGTCATCTCGTGGGCAAACTCGGAGTCCGACCGAGTTTCGTTGGCCGGCTTGCGCAACTGGAAGGCAAAGCCCATGGTGTTTTTGACGGATAGAGTGGGGAAATGGAAGTCCTCCTCACTGGCGTAGACGGTTTCCGATCGGTAACGACGTGCCATCTCCTCTTTGGCAAGAGTGGCATACTGCAGCTGGCCTTGAACTTCAACGAACGAACCGTGGCTGTTGGCTAGGGTCTTCAGCAGGGTGGTGCACCCGGCGCCCGGCCGTCCCAGCACGAGCATCGACTCCCCAGGAAAGATCACCCCACTGACATCGCGAATGAGCTTGCTCGTTGGTGTAGATTGCTTGCCGGTCGCATGTGCGATGGCTTTGACGGGCCATTGCACAACCTTGGTCACTATCGCTGGCAAAGTCATGATTCCGTTGACCCCGCTGGCAACCCCCAAGACCGTGAGGTCTTTGAACACCACGCCAAGCGCTCGACCATCCTTGCGATAGATGGGAGATGCCGCGGTGGGCTCGCCTCCGGTGACTGGTTTCTCCTTTTGGGTACATCAGTGACATTGGTTGAGGGAACAGCATATTCAAAACCAACACTTACCATAAATCGCTGGGGCGGGCCAGGCCTGATGCTTGTGTAACTGAGCTTCGTTAACGAGATAGCTAAATAGCAAGACCGAAGCTACGGATAGAATTAACAGGCTGCAATATAGACCAAGGTCCATGATGGGCTCAAGATCAATTTATAGAGGCTCTGTAATTCTACTGGGTTGAGGTTGGAGATACGGCAGACTCATGGCAACGATGACAAATATGGCACGGAAACCTGCTACTGGCTACAGGCTACTGGCTGCAGGCTACATGGAGGCGATGAGATGTCATGGAGAGGTAGAATCTTCATGACGAGCTCGGTAGACAAGTGAAGGTCAGTTGCTAATGAGCCGAAAATACTCGGATAGAAAGCTAGGCTCCGATTTGTGGAGGGTTGCTACAAACCACTGGAGTGGAGATCAATCGTGCCGAGATCTCTCGGGTGTTACCGAAAGGGGTAACGATCCAGCGCATTGAACATGGACCGTCTTGGAGGCGCCACCCCGTCCATCCATTAGTCAGTACAAACGGTCGGCGCGATCCAACCCTGTGGCATCTCCATTCAGCCAATAAGACATATAATTGATGCCCGAAATGCTGGTGGAGAGAAAATCATTCCCCTCGGCAATCTGTTCGAGTGAGGGCGTTCCCATGCTAGGAATATAGCTTAACGGTTCGTCGAGAGGATCCAACAATCCTCCTGTTGGTGCCGGGAGATAAACCTCACTTTGAATACCATTCGATCAATATGAGTCTCTCGGGCGGGCTTGGGGAAAAGGCAATCACTTACTTCAGCCAGGGGAAATTGTCCGCCATGTTCTCCTCCAGATTTGCCTCGCGGGTTGAGAGCGACAGGGCATCCTTGGCACTCTTCATGATGTCCATGCTCAGCGCTTTGCCGGTGATCGGTCCGTTATGTTCCATCTGATCCAGGCACTGAATGCCACGTTCTACGGACTCGAAGATCATCCGCGCATGCTCCACGGTGACGGACGAATCCAACACATTGTACAAGAGGGTCACGCAGGCGGAGACGATGTAGTTGGCCACGGATGCATCATTGCGAATGCACGTTGCCCTCTCCATGACAGCACTACTTGCGATCGCAATGATCTCCTTGGCAGAATGAATCGACAAGTCGATAGACTCTTGCAGGTCCTCCTGCGTAGGCGAGGTCGCCCCCGATGTCCCATGCGAGCCGTGGCAGAAGCTTGCGTACACCAGAGCCGGTCTACGGATCATCATTTTGATCAAGTGAAAGGCCATTCCCAGATGGGTACACTGGATCTCCTGCCACGCTTCGCCATTGGGTCGTTTGCGATCGGAGAATTGCAGATACGGAGGCAGGCTGTGTTGGATTTGTTGAAGGGCAGCGTCGCACTCGAGAATCGTAGCATCGACCTTACGACGGTCGTACAGCGCCTGGAGGTTCGCCAGTGAGAAGATCCCGCTGGACACCTTTTCGATAAGCTGCCCGATCCGTGCCATTGACCTCAAATAGGCGCATTGCGTTGTCGGACCATCCGAGTCACCCATATGGCTACCTTCCAGGAGCCTTCGGGGCACGTCCTCGGGAAACGCAGCGTCAATGTGGGTGTCGAGAAAACATGAGGGCCGACCGGTGAAGAAGGCGCAGACCCGCTCGTAAAAATAGACGACCCAGAATGTTATGCGCAGCCGATGCATGACCGGGGCCAGTCCGTTGACAACCTGGCTGCGGTTGAGACCTAAGGCCAACACGCTTCGCGCGGCATGACCTAGATAGAGATAGGCGTCGTTGGGCCTCATCCCATGCAATGCATACATAGCCTGTTTTCAATTCAAGTCAGTCGTTCATTGCCCTCGTCATCTGCTGACCCTTCCAATGTGGATCGAGACGTGTATGCGAGAGCCATGCCTACCTTAAGAAGTATCAAATGAATTCCCTTGATGCAAGGCTCCTGGAATAGCATGCTATAGTCGTTCGACTGCGCCCAGAAGTAGTCCGCCCACCGATCCAGCGTCTCCCCACTATGACTGTCCTCGCGGGCCATTGTCCGAGCTCCCAGAGCGAGAACCATGTAGACCAGATCCCTGGAGCTGACTTCGCGTCCAGGAGCCGGGGGGGCCCACAGCTTCTCCCACAGGCGAATGATGATAGATTGTTCGAGAATGGGTAAATGCGGGTGAATGACATCAAAGTAAGCGGCGATGAACCGGCGACCCAGCTCCTGCGATAGAAATGATTCAGTCGAACCCCCGGACGAGCGAAGCCCGCCCGATCCGGCGGCGAACATGAACCGCTCCAGGCCCCATTCCCCGAGCCCAGTCGGCACTGCTGTCTTAGGCTGGTCCAAGAGCCGACCGTGGGACTGGCGCTTCATACGCTGGTGAATGCGCTGGATGAAGCAGAAATGTGAAGAGGGTCCTAATTTCCCGGCGTGGGTTAGTCATTTCGGGTCCGAGTTCCTTCTCGAGAAGACACATGTGGTCCCCCTTTTTGTCCTTCTTGAGGCATTGGAGGTGGGGAATACCATAGAATTGGAAGGAGCCTGTCTGGCTGTTGGTGACTCCGATTCCCGCGCGGAGTTCTAGCTGCTGCCGATACTCCTCGGGACTGTATCGAGCTGGATCTCCCCCATGACTGACGTTTGTAAGCCTGCGCCCGTCACTGTCGCTGCTGAGGATGAAGCTTGGGGTTGTGGCTTCTGCCACCGCGGGTGCCGGAGTGCTTTTCCGTGCTGTAGGTCTCTTTGGCGCCCGCCCTCGAGCGCGTGGCTTCTCGCGATACTTGCAGGGCAGGCGGTGCTGCCAGCACCGGAGGCAAGGATTCTCTCCGTTGCATTTGACCTTCTTGGAGCGGCAAGACTCGCAGGCACGTTCGATACGCATGCCCTTGGACGGTTCTCGGTCTGTGGGGCAATTTAGCTGAACGTCCTGGGGGTCCAAAGTGATCAACATTATTACATGATTCGGAATCAGCCATTTGGGGGATGCTCGTAAAGACGAGCAGATTACATCGGCGAGGTTGTAACTGAGAAGGATGGATACTTTCAAGTTCATTATCAGTTACCAACATTACAGTCACGTGAAGCCATCTCAAGTATCCCAGGATCCGATTATTCGCACAACCTGTGAAATCCGTTTACTGAACCACATGCCTAGCCCGTTGCTCTACTTCTCTGGCCTGCTGGTGCTTAACTATATCAGTACTTCGCCAAGCTCTGGGACCTGGTTTTTTTTTTTCTTACATTCTTTGCCTACGGATGGGTGACCGATCATTGAATTAGTCAGCCGTCTGACCTACCACTCGGAATTTCCGGGTGCTGGGGTCTCCAAGAAGTCTCCAAGAAGGCCGCTAGGAAAGACGTGCGCTGGAGGGTGGAGAGTCCAAACACCTCCAATCATCTCCACCTCACTCGATATAGATATTTGACTGTGCGCTGGTCGGGCGCAATGAAAATTATGTATGTCTTGCAAGCTGTTGCAGTCATGGAATGCAAAATCATAGGTTAAGTATCGACAGCCGCCATTCCCCCCTTCGGAATGTCCTTCCGCCTTCCCAAGAGTAGTGACGAAACAAACACGCGCACGCGATAATGATGCTTGCAACCTAAAAAACTAAGGCAGGGTGAGTCATTTTTCGGACCTCAGTGGTCAAGTATCACTGACTTTGTAAGTCAAGCTGAAGGATCGCACACCTCTGTCTCCACTGAGATTACCAGTCATGCCTACTCTTAGGAGAAGCACACGCCTCAAGAACTCTGAGGATGACTCTGAAAATGAGATACCCCGCCGTCTAAGAACGCCCGATATATTCCTTGTCCCCGAAATCTTGGAAGCTATTCTTCTGCGTCTGGACATGCACACATTGCTGATCTCAGCTCGGGTCTGTGCTACATGGATCTCGCAGAATCCAACAGGCCTTATTCTACATTCCCATCGACACAGACACCAGAAAGACCCGTCGCAAAACAAGAACCCTCTGGTGATGGACAAGATATGGTTCGAATTCATCTTTGTAGGACTCAACTCGCGTCGGAGACATGGTGCGTGGCACTGCCCCTCTATTGCATCGGAGAAGAGAGAAAGGGCATACTTGCGCCCCCGAGGCAAGCTGGCGGCGGATGCTCCTTCAGCAACCTCCCACCTCGATCGTCCGCTTCTGGAACCCCGAGTGCCTTTGGGGTCCCTATTGGCATGATCTGCCCAAAGATCAGATGGTCAAGACTGGGGCCGAGTGGACACCGGAAGGAGACTATCTCCGCATGGAGAACGTCGCATATGAGGTCGACACAGGAGCGATCTCGGCGGGCCCCTGCCTTTCCTATGCTGGGCAGATGCCGAGGCCCTGAGAAAGGCCATGCGCAAGTCCAAGCCAGGCAAGCAGGTACGCCGCGATCGTACTCTCAAGCGCTATCTTCGGAGGTTCGATCTCACCATCAACACGGAATGCCCCGATTTCTGGCCGATTGTCTGGATTGAAGACCATCCGGTACCTGTAAGAGATTTTCGTCAGTTCTGTGAAACAAGGGATGTCAAGTTGTTGGTAGTCGATCCCCGTTAAATGGAGACTATGATTCCGTCTCAACCTTTGCTTATCCTGCTTCTCTCGTGCCTGATCCATCTATGTTCTTTTCAGCCTGCTTATGCTTTTGTTATATCTGGAGACGAGTTTTTCTAGGTCATATTTCGCCAAGGAAACATTGCTATATTCAAACGCTTCTCTTCTCGCATTTGTTATTTGTAAAGGTCGAGTCAGGAGGGGGGCATGCCTGCTGAGATATGTGGCTAGTTTCTGTTCAACAGACTGATGCACCAGCTGAGTGCTCGTGGCTGGTGTAACTATAGTTATCAACGCTGAAGTCAAACAAGCTCGGACTACTTTTGCACGTGGAGTGGAATCAGCGATAACTTACACGGGGCCGAGGCTATGAAAACGACGCTCGCTTGCCGACTCCCGCACTGAGCTAAACAGTCAAAAGTTGCGTACAAGAATAGGTTGGTAGCTGGACATATAAGGATAAGATCCTAACTTTATTCAGCAAAAACATACAACAGAAGGGATTCGCTGGTGGTCACCCACCCAACTACTAACCTCCCGGCGTGTGGCTTAAGTACGGCTGAGCGGACGGGAAGCCCTGTTTTCCACACCCTGTGGTCGTATGTGCTTGCCTACCAACATGAAGACGTACAAGACTAGTAAAACCGTCTACCTTTGTGTGAATCTACTATGCCAATCCCTTATGCTATATGCATGCGAGTCATCTGGCCGTAAATGTTCGTGTTGATCGTAATTGCGGAGGAAGACACCCGCTCCGAAGGCCGTCACGCCCGTGGTTCGGTTGCTTGGCCTAGATCATGGAGCAACAGAACTATACGAGCCAACGGAGAAATGTGTGTATAAAGAACCCTGCTCAGGCCTTGTCGCCTAATCAGCCCTTCCTGCAATTCATTCAGTCCATGGCAAGGCTATACCATCCATACCAGGTGAAATGATCTCACAACCCTTTCTCTTCGGTATCACTCTCACCATCCTCCTCACCACCCTCCCCACCGAATCTACAGCCCAAGCAGGCACCAAACTCCCGCCTTGCACCAACGCCCAAATCCTGAAAGGCGACAAAGCCACCCTATCCCACTGCGAGTGCGTCAAGGGCGACCAAAAGTGCAGCACGCAGTGTCCCGTCGGCCCTACGCACGTCGGATCGCCATGCCCTGCCAACCTGCTCACGCAACTCCACCTCAACGATTGCGCGCACCACTGCCAGGCGGACACGAACCACGTCTGCGCCTCCTGCGGGGTGTGGTTCCATTCGCTCTGCACGTGTCTGCAGACGGGCACCTGCGTGCAGCAGTACACAAACCCGGCCCCCGGGGCGGCCTATTGGGTGAAGACACCGGGTGGGGACCTAGCGACCGTCACGGTCCCCGTCGCGGATATCCTCGCGCTGGAGGCCGAGCACCCCAAGCTGGCCGCGGAAGGGTGGGATTTTGGGCAGTCGTCGGTGCTGGCGGTCTCGAACCCCGCGACGCAGGCCCTGGTCGTCAACTCCGTGCACTCCATCACCCACAACCAGATCCACATGCACCTGTGTCCGCTGAACCGCGACATGCAGCGGCTGCTGACGCGGCTCGTCACGGTGAAGACTCCCCTCTCTCAATTCAAAAGCCGCCAGCCGGTGCGGCTAACGCCGCAGTTTGGTGGTGCGCTCATGTACTGTCAGGCGGCGCAGGGCAAAAATCAGCCGATTTCCGGGAAGATCATGTCTGACAATATCAAGGCAGTGCGGGATGACAAGAGCCTCTGCGATTATGAGGTTGGGGCGGCGGTGATGAGGGACTCGAATGGCATTACATGGGGTTGTGTCACTGGCGATCGTCTCAGTACGGAGTATAAACGCTTCTGTGCTTGATTTTGGACTGAAAGGAGGATTCTTATGAGATAGGTCAGCTGCCAAAGCGGTTGACTCTTTATGGGGGTTTTATTTCGGCTTAAATCAAACGCTCTGGCATCTCGCAAGCATTTTTCTTTTCTGTACGCACAGGGCAATTTTCTTTACTTTTGTTTCTAGAAAAAAAGTAAAAGAAACGAATGTCAAAAACAAGAAAGAACACCGTGACTGCCGAATTCTAATTACACCTTCAGGATAGCGCATTAGAATTGGCGTTTCGTGGCACGGTTGGGAGATGAAAAGCGCCTCCGCGGGAAACTTTATATATAATGTACCCAAACTAGGGGCGAAAAAATTCCTACTTAACCACACCTTGCACTTCGATAGTACAATGAATGGAAAATTGAGATGAGTTACCATACCTGCATAAAACCCCCAGAGCCTATCGAATGCAGGAAAAGTGAGAAGTTCGCCACTGGGAAAAGGAGAACGCGCTGAAGCCAGAGTTAGGGTTACATCCGGGGATGTCATGGCATCACCACCTGGATTGAGGCCCACCCGGATGACACCCCCTGACAATTGTCATTCTGACGGATGACTTCCTACCTGACTGATAAAGAGCATACTAGGAGAAGTGCTAGCCCTTGCGCTGCGTCCCGCAGACCCAGCATATCTTGACCACAAATGTCCAAGTCCAAGCTCGCCAACATCGCGACAATCGCGATCCCCAGCGCCGTCGTGGCCGCGGGGCTGACCAAACTCGTCGACCAACAAACCGTAAAGCAGCAGCTGACCCCCTTAGAAGGAATCACCCCTTTCCAACCAAACGAAACCCCAGGCTTGGTAGACCTCCCCAAAGCCCTTCCGACCAGCACGATCCCAATAAGTTCCAAACTCCTCTCGCCATCCCCCCCAACGCCCCCCGTTGACCCGACCGGCATCCTCAAATACGGTCACCCGGGCCCCGTCAACGACGAGCTGCGCGCCACCTCCTGGTACGGCACATACGACCGGCGCACGCGCAACCCGATCTGGGTGGCCGAGCACATGACGCCCGCCTCGGTCGCAAACGCACCGGGCAAGCGCCGCGACAACTTCCGCGAGGACCCCAACATCCCCGCCGCATTCCGGGCCAAGGTCAAGGACTACAGCGCGAGCGGGTACGACCGCGGCCACCAGGTGCCGGCGGACCCGGCGCGCTGGTCGCAGCAGGCGGTCGACGAGACCTTCCGCATGTCCAACATGTGTCCGCAGGTCGGGGTCGGGTTCAACCGCCACTACTGGCGGGACTTTGAGGCGTTTTGCAAGAATCTGACTACCCGTTACCCCTCTGTCCGGGTGATCACCGGCCCGCTTTATTTGCCTCGGCTGGAGGAGGACGGGAAGTGGCGGGTTAGTTATGAGGTTATTGGGTCGCCCTCGCCGAGGGTGGCGGTGCCGACACATTTTTTCAAGCTGGTTCTTGGGGAGGAGGAGGATAGTGGTGGTGGTGGTGGTGGTGGTGACGAGCTGGTTGGGGGCAAGGTGGCGGTGGGCGCGTTCGTGTTACCCAACGGGGCGATCAGCGGTGATAAGCCGCTGGCGGACTTTGAGGTCGAGCTGGATGTGCTGGAGCAAGCGACTGGCTTGGAGTTGATTGAGAAGTTGAAGTCGACTGCGCGGCGAAAACTGTGCGAGGAGGTCCAGTGTGACATTAGGGTCAAGGATTTTAGGAATGCGGTTGAGGATGTCACGGAGATGATAGGTAAGGTAAAGCTGTAGGGAGAACCCAGGATGTGAATGGGATATACTATGCTTTAGTATCTTTTCGATGGTGATGGCTACGAGGTGTTATCTCCGTGGAGCTGGTATAGGTGGTGTGCATCTCCAGAGTCACTTCTCTAATCTACGGCATGACTACTGAATACTTGAGAGGACACCACGAATGCTAGGAGTGGAAGTAGGGATACAAGTTTGATATTAATTATTAATTATGAGAACGAGTGACCGAGATGAAAAAGGTTGAAGCAGGCGTGTCATGTAATAGCCACGCCAAACGCCTTGTTCCAAGACAATATTCCTCAGGGACCTGCGGCAGGGGCAGCAGGACCGGCAGGGGCAGCGGCACCCTTCGTGTCAGCCAATGGCACCCTGTAACTGCAGATGCAGCGACTGCACGGTTCCAAGCATTAGTAACTCAAACCTAGCAAGATCTACCCATCGGGCGGGTCTATAGAAAGATTGGAAAGGAAGGTCTTACAGGTCCTCCGTCCCACCGCATTGCCCACTAAGGGCATTGGCGTTGAGACACTATAGTAAGCGCATCAGCATATGCTTGTGAAAAGGACATACATGCGAGGCAAAGAAATTTCCACAAGACATACCTGGGTGTTACATGTCGCGTCGTTGCAGAAGAGTCGTTTGTCCAACTGATTGGCGCCAGCGTTGAGGGAGGAGGCGGTGGCTGCAGCGCACAGCAGAGCGAAGGTGACAATAGAGGAGAACTGCATGATGAAGGTGGAGGTTTGAGAATCTGGCTGGTGATGGACTGTCTTGCGGAGAGCAGTGGAAGAATTGAAGGCTTGGACTGTGATGAGATGATTTGTGTAGAGACACTTCTAGGGTGAAAAAGTAGGGTTTTATACCTCGGTTTGCCCCTAACCACCCCCAGCGCATACGGTAGTATCACTCAGATCAACATGCATTGTTTGCCTTTTGCTTCTCATACAGTAACTAGCTGCGGTGATCAAGGTCTATCACTTCAAAGCTTCACGCCACATTCCATAGTCCAGAAATACAACCATGTGATCTTCAATTCATGGTTCCAATTTCAGGGATCATCAAAGAGGGTGACTACTATATACAAGTTCTCGTTATACAAAACTGAACCCAGATCGGGTGGTAACTTCCATCAAGGTTCGGTCATCAATGATCAGCAATGGGAACTACTAACGTTAGCTAGTAGATAGTTCCCGCAAGAACTTGGAGGGGGCAAATAAAATGATGCTGCGGATATGGCTCCCGCACAATCCTACATGTCATACCCCTGGGTGATCCCTAACAGCAGATAGTGACATCTGTCATATCAGACAGGGTCCACATAACCACAAGCAGCGTGCATACCTCCTGAAATTCTCAAGATATACCCTCCGTGGCCACGAATTCCACAATTTCCTGCGCTCCACTGGTGGAAGCAATCAGTAGACTTGGCTGTAATTAAACACTATGTACGTTGTATTACATATGAGGTATATATAAGAAGGACCATGTCAGGTGCAGACTGTTGTGCATTTACATCTCCTTTAAAAGGCAGCTTCTGGATATGGCCGCATATTAACATCGGGAAATTGTGAATTTGGCGGCCACGGAGGGTACTCTAACAATATATGTCTCAACAGTGATCGGCATGATATTCGAACCAACAATCTGATCCTTTTTCGAATCTTTCACATCACCGTGGTAGACCCAAACTGATACATCACGCACGTCTCCGAATATATTTCACAGCACAAGTAATACATCCGCAGGTAGAGCGACAGCCGGTGACGACCGGAATCCTCCAGGATCTGCACCAAGTCCTCCAGGCATCGCACCGTACAGCTGTGTTCGTACTCTGCCAGCAGCCGCAGCTGCGTCTGTACGTCTCCGTCAGCCTGCAGGCTTTGCGGCGACGAGAACTCCGGAAAGTCGACCGAGTTGAGGTTTGCGGCGCGGCGGTCGCGCTCGATGCTTCCCAGGTCATTCCACAGCCTGCCTTCCACCGAGATCTGCCGCCACAGCTTCTCGGCCAGATACCTTTCTCGAGCAGTGGTGAAGACATCCCCCTTTTCTTCGGACCCAAGCTTACACACCAGGGACTTGGAGACCACTGCACTCTTGACATCGTGCACGGCAGAGGTGTGTAGCCAGGTGAAGAAGCTCTGACCGCTGGTCACAGCGGTGGTGGCAGACTCGCGGCTGTCTGGTTGCTTCTGATCATGATAGTTTGTGGTATTGATGCTGAGCGATCTATGCGCTTTGGCTTGCTGTATGGCAGCAATCGTCGCCAAGCTGACTTCTTGTCGCAGATCGCGTCGATCAGCAGGACTTGGCTTGGCCGTGGCGAGGTTCACATCAAGAACAAAGCGGAACCAGATAGCGAGGTTGTGCTGGACATTGCTGAGTGCACTTCTGGACTTCCCATTCGTTTCAAGGGTAGGTCTAGCGTGAGAAGAGTGATCTTGGCAAAGACCATTTGTGCCATGGCACAGCTGCTCAATGTATTCGGCTATGGTCTCAGAGGCCGAGTCAGGCAGAGCCACCAGATCCCTTTCCATCAAGTCATCCTCCTGGAAGATCCCAACGGAAAGTTCGATCATACTGTAAACGATGCGGGTGCTAAGTAGATACTCAGGGCGGGAAATATTGGCCAACGTCCAAAAGCAGGCAGCGAACTTGATGTATTTCTCGCCAAGAGCGTTGCCGGTGGAGAATACATGCAAGTCCCTGAGCTTGTGGCTGAACAGGAGAGCTTCGACGACGGACGCCTCAACCACCCACTGTGGCGTTCTCATCTGCGACGGCAATCGCGCGAAGAACTCAGTCATTTTGCGAACCGTGGCAGCCGGAATGTCAACGAGCAGGGATGGTAGTGCGGCCGCTTTCTTGCTAGAGGTCTCGATGTCCCCAGCCGTCACGGCTGCCATGATGTACGAGTCTGACACCGTTGGAATGGCATACAAGGTTTTGTCTAGCCAAAGCTGGTCGTCTGTCGAGCAGCGTTTGTCTCTGGACAGGATAAACTCAAGGCCTCTCCTGACGGCATCATTGAACTCGCTGGAGATCCTCTCAGTCAAACTAAAAGATGTCACGCTCTTTAGTACGAGGAGACCATAGGCCGTCTCTTCCGCAGAGCCTGCGCTGCCCCAGGACCCGTCCTGATTCTGAGTGCGGAGCGTTCGGATCGCAGCCTGGAACAGCGTGATCGGGATTTGGAATTTCATCAGATCATCGGACAAGGCAGCTAGGTCGCCGGCACTCCAGCGCTGCAGGTAAGACATCAGGGCTTCGCACATCAGCATCGTCGGGTAAAACGATGAGATGTTCTAGAAGACCTTCAGTTAATCATAACTCGGTTTTCCGCATCGCAACCAGTCGTGTGACGTACCCATTTATCACGAGGCATCCGATCGCACTTGAACCATTCTTCGCAGAGGTAGCGAACACACTTCTCAATCTGAGACTGGTAGCGGTCATCGGTGGAAAGCAGCACCAGAGCGGTGAGGACGTTCGCATTGGTGCTGATGCTCTTGTGCGTCTCGTATGAGTACGTTGCGAAATGAGTTTCACGTTCAAATCGATCGACCAATACTTGCGGTGAGTAGTGCTTTCCTTGGAGCATCAGAGCTACCAAGGCCTTAGCAGTGTCATCGGCATCAGGGCATGCTTTGGGGACTATTGGCAGGCAGAGACATTAGAATGGGCACCGCGGCGATATTCTACCTTCGATCCAGGAGGTCACTCTACCGAAGCCTACGAGACCATGTTGTTTGATTTCTGCTTCAATCGGCTCGCCAGTCCGCTGTAGATCAGCGGCGGGCGCAATACCGTTGCGCAGCAGATTTGTGGTCACCTTGGTTGAATCAGTATCTTGTTCTATCAGCACTCATGATTGTGGGTCAGAAGCGACATACCCACGCCCACTCAAACACCGTGGTCGGATACCCAGCTGCCACTAGCCCCGATCCTAGACCTACGCCGTTGGAGATCGCGCGCCGAATATAATCCTCGGCCTCGTTATCCCATACGGGGCTATACATCAGATATGCAGATGTCGCAGATGGTGAGCCCAGCATGCTGCCCAGGACTTTGTGCTGGGCTAGCCCACCGAAGTCGATCTTTCCGACCAGAGCTTCCAACGAGTGCAAAAGGGAGGACTGTGGACCGCTGAAGATGAGATCCAGATCAATCTTGGACAGTTTCTTTGCCTGCAGCTTGACGAGGTTCGTCCGGTTGAAGTCAAAAGTGTGGCCCTCTGCCTCCAGCAGGTCCAGCATGGCCGGGAGTCGCAGTTCGAAGCTCACAGGTAGAATGCATGTGACTGTCAGCTCGTTGAGATCTTGCAAAGCCGTATCTAGAAACCGTTTTGCTTTGAGGATCCTTGAGTTGAGCTCCTGCGCATCGACCTCCCCTGGATCCGCCGCGTGCCTTTGCAGGGCCAGGAGAGCCGCCAAAGTGTTGGCAATGGTATCTAATCTGGCGATAGAACTACCCCAAGAACCATCAAGCTCTTGAAGCTGCAGAAGAGTCGAAAAGGCTTCCGGAAACGCCCAGGATGTTACGCCTCCCTCGTTCGGCTTTCTGACAAGTGAGACCCATGCAGTGTCGTAGATGTTGCCGGACATTGTACCGAGTCCATAGGTGGGATGATGCGAGTTTGCAAAACTCTCGTATAGGCATTGGTTCTTCGTCTCGATGAATGTGGCCACAGAATTGTCACGCATCGTGTCAAATAGATGCCTCGAGGAGGTATTGATGAAAAGAAAAACCGAAGGGTAGGTGGCCGACTAATGCTGGCGAAGGAGATGCAGTGCCCTAGCCACAGCTTAAATGTATTGGATGTTTATGGAAATCGAGGACATGATATAGCTATAGAGCATCAATCTAGCAGGGCTGACAGAGTAACCCAGCTATGGCTCAATTGGGCTCAAAATTACCTGCCCAGCGCAACACGTAGCCGCCAGAGCTTCGAGGGCACCAAAGAGGGTCTGACCGGCAAATACTTTCTGTTTTGGGAACCATCTTGTCGATGAATATGATTCCTCAGACTAGCATCAATTGCATTGCATCTCAGACATTGGACTGGCCTGAACAAAGGTTCAGTAGAACAGGCAAGGTTTCCTATCGATCCACAGAGAGAAGATGAATTCACGAGGATAGTGCGACAAGACCGACTCCAGATGGCTTGCAGCTATTTTGACGCAGTCTACCGGTACTATATTATGCCTGTGACCAGGATAAATGTGTCGGAGACAGCGGCCCACATTTGGACCCGTGGCTGGATTGTGGCCGATGTCGATCTTCCGAATCCGGCAATGCGGAGACTTTCCAGGAGGTCCCATGTCACATCGAGCCCTAATTAAAATACATTCATGCAGAATCTGACACCTCAAAACTCACCCCCTTACTTGTAGTCGGCAGTCATTGGCACTACCTACCTAGTGCATTGTGAGACACCTTATCCTGCTAATATCTCTCCCGTCTGCGCCTTATCCTTGACAGCTTGAAGAGGTGGAGTGCTCATTGCTTCTGTACCACCGCCACTCCCCCAATATACCTCAAGCTGAGACCAAATGTAATATAAGAATCTGCATTCTCTCCCTGTCTACTCATCAACAAGCAAAGGATAGATTCAGTCGCGATGCTTGAGATCTTGACCCCTACTAGGGAGCACGTGGCTTTGGGTGGCACGATCCTGACACTCGTTGCTTTCATTCTGCGCAGTATATATCGCCTGTTTTTCGATTCGCTGCATCATATTCCCGGCCCAAAGCTAGCTGCGATCTCCCATCTGTATGAATTTTACTACGATGTCATCTGCGAGGGCATGTTCGTGTGGGAAATCGAAAGGATGCACCAGAGATATGGTAAGGTGAATCTCCTTTGCGTGGGAAGCATCGGCTTTTTTACCCGGCGTGCACGGCCCCTCTCTTCCTAACACAACAGCGTCATCATGATAGGACCCATCGTGCGAATCAATCCCCGCGAGGTGCACATCAAGGATCCCTCTTTCTACGACGAGATCTATGCTCCGGCCACGGGGATGCGGGACAAGGATCCCAAGTCCGTCCACATCTTCAGTGCACCAGGCGCGATGGTCTCCACCGTGGGACATCACACGCATCGCAGGCGCCGACGGATCCTCACCTCGTTCTTCTCGCGACGGGCGATCGAGGGGATCGAGCTGACGATCCAGGCGTCGCTCCAACAATTCCTTAACGCCCTCGCCATTGCCCATAGAGAGGGGAGAGTGCTCGACTTGATCGACCGACTGCAGGGGCTGACCGGCGACCTCATCACGCAGTATGCATACGGCACCAGCTACGAGCTCCAGGCGGAGGAGAACATTGGCAAGGGAATCGTCAAGGTGGTTCAGGAGGGGACCGACCAGATCCACCTGCAGCGGTTCTTCCCCTTGATGGGCACTCTTCTACGCTTGATTCCCTCGTGGTTCATGGCGCGGGTCTTTCCCGCCCGAGCCCGGGTCTATGATCTGTTGGAGGGGGTGCGAGAACAGTCTCTGGCCGCGCTGGAATCGAGAAGCACCGTCCAGGAGCCCGGCGGTGCCGCCAAAGCGATCACCATGTTTCATGCTCTCACTGATCCAGAGGTTCCGCCGGAGGAACGGACGCTGCAGCGCCTCGAGGATGAGGGATTGGTGCTATTTGCCGCTGGTACTGAGACGACGGCGACGACGCTCTCTGTGGCCATCTTCCATGTTCTGAATGATCCAGCGGTCTTTCGCAAACTCCGCTCTGAACTCAAGCAGATCATGCCCACTCCGCATCATCCGGTCACATGGCGCCAGCTTGAGAAGCTGCCATACTTGGTACGTACTGTTCCTTTTATGATCGGACTCTGGCTACTCCTTCTGGTCCACTTGGGAAGAAAGACCCCTTTCTGATTGAATTGACCGTTTTATGTGGTGCAGACAGCAGTTATTCACGAAGCTCTCCGCCTTTCCGGGATTGTGATGCGGCAACAGAGGATCTCGCCGATAGAGGTACTGAGGTACAAAGACTGCGTCATTCCACCAGGGGTAAGTCGTACCTAACCCATTTAGCTACCTCTTGAACACTGGCTCACGTAAGCAACATAGACACCTGTCAGCACGATCGCATACTTCGTGCACAGAGATCCCTCCCTATTCCCCGATCCGGAGAGATTTCACCCGGAACGATGGATCCTCGCCGCGGAGCGGAAAGAAGGTCTTTTACGCTATCTGGTGACATTTGGCAGGGGCAATCGGGCCTGTCTAGGGATGAAGTATGTTTATCTACTCCCTCTCGGGTGTCTCTCATTAGCGGCTAACCTTCCCCCTCCGTGGCACGACAGCCTAGCCTACGCGGAACTGTACAATGTCTTGGCTACGGTGATTCGTCGATTTGATCTGGAACTCTACGAGACTACGAGGGAGGATGTCCGCTTTGTGCGGGACAAATTGCTACCGCGGGGCAGGGATGGGCCATGGCGTGTGCGAGTCAAGGTGGCTGGGATTGTTGAAGAATAGGTGGTTTTCTACTCACTTAGTATGGGCGCAGTCTACTCTACAGTGCATTGGAAATAGTGGGGGGTCGAGAAGGGGCCATCGAGGCATTGTACTTGGATCGTAAGTTGTAGATCGAGAGTAGCTGGGTAACGTCACGAGTAGATGTTCTAGCTATGGGGCTTACCTCCACGGTGGAAAGACTTTTAGTGAGTAAGAAGAAGGGACAACGATGCTGTTTCATACCGCGGAAATGCATTTCGCGAAGTCTACACCGACTAGTCTTCTGCGCAACTCTGCAGACATCACCCACCCACGCCTGCGTCAGTCATGCTGGAGTTAGAGACGGGTCACATCGTTGCTCGTGCAAAACCTCCCTGGCCAGCCCGCCTCTCCCCCTTGCGTCAGAATCCATTGGGGTTGGTGATTTTATAAGTGGTTTCAGCACTCACACCACCCGCAATTTTATCCTCAACCTCTACCTCCCCCCCCCCCCCGGTCCCACACATCAGCCCCAACCCGAACACAATGGGACAAACCGCCTCGGCTCCGCGACCAGGAACACAGCTCCAAGTGATCGGAGCAGGCCTGCCTCGCACAGGGACCGCCTCATTCAGCACGGCGTTAAGCATCCTCCTCGACGGCCCCGTCTACCATGGCGGCACGCAACTCACCCGCGGGCCACCGGGCGAGCTGAAAGCCTGGATCCAGATCCTCCGCTGCTGGCTAGCTGGCGGGAAGCAGCAGCGGGGGGAATGTCAGCGCCTTCTCCGACACCAGCTCGACGGCTATGCGGCCATCACCGACGCCCCGGGCTGCCAGCTCCTCCCCGAGCTGATGGCGCTCTACCCAGACGCCAAGGTCATCTGCACGGTGCGCGACCCGGGTTCCTGGGAGAAGAGCATGGCGCAGGTGCACAGCTTCACGCGTCTGGGATGTCTCAAGCTCCTCCTCCTCCCACTGCCGGGCATGCGACACTTCGTGGACTTCACCTGGCTGCTGCGCCGGCAGTGGTGCCGTCTCTATGCGGACGATCAGAGCCTGACCTCCGTTCAGCAAATCAGCGGCACGCTGATCCACCGTGGCATCTACGAGCGGCATATCGCCTGGATCGAAGCGAACGTCCCCGCCGACCGCGTGGTGTTCGTCGACGTGCGCGATGGGTGGGAGCCGCTGTGTCGCGCGCTGGGGAAGGAGGTCCCTCCAGGTATTCCCTTCCCGCGGATCAACGATGCGGATGCGATTGTGCGCACCGGGCGCGAGTATATTCGTCGCGCGATGGTGCAGTGGGTTGGAATTGTAGGTGTCGTTGGCATCGTGGTTCTCCTGGTTAGGCGATGGAGGGGTTGAATGTGTTCTACGAGGGAGGGGAGCTCGATGGTGAGGACGGGGTAGCGGTGGGGACTGATATTTGATATACGGTCTATCGCATTAAGGTCCATATAGCAGGTCAAACTGCACTGGGCAGCAGGCCGATAAATGCCTCTGTACCATGGGTGTGGTCCGAGTCTGAACACCCCCTGTGCACTAGCAACCACCGCCAGATCATGACCCATTCAGCTTTAAGGAATAGAACAACCCGGCCATCCCCATTTACGGACCGCTCTATGATCCTGTGCATCCTGTGCCTGCTCTATTCGGTCTCAAAACTCAAGACGCCCAGCCTGCCGTGCTGTACATCAGGCCCTCTGTCGGGGTGAGGTAGTCGACCGCTTAGGCCTTCAGCAGTGTCCTCGCCCCTACGCTTGAGGATGTTCAGCAGCTCCAGGTCACTCCGGTTTGAGTAGATAGTATGAATCTCGAAAGGCAATTCACGGAATTGGTTTATGCTCAAGTGTCGGCCTGCAGTTTAAGGATGTCGTCGCGCATTCAAAAGATTGTGCCTGGGAGGTCCGCTACCGTGACACAGCCACGGCGGGGTATGGATTGCCTCTGCGTATAAGTTCTGGAGTTCGAGCAAGGGAGCGAAACCAATGCCTGGTGTCTTACCGATTGCATGAGTCTGGCGGCTATGCAAAACCAGCCTCGTAGTCTTGTCTAGGCCGATCCCGATGTATTTTCATCCAGGCGGACATGGCCAGGGTGTCACACCGTGTCACGCCAATACAAGTCCAGCCCCTGGCCACGATGGAAATTTGGAAGCTCCTCCACAATCTCGTCAACACGATAGCCTTGCTTGCGGAATGGATATTTTCCGTGACACGAAAGATGCTATGGGCGACCGGCTTGCCGCGACGAAGCCTGGGGTAGTGTGGGTATCGAAGAATCTCGTTCGGGGCTTTTAGTGCGGACTAGGTTCTCCTCCTAGGTTAATATAGTCAAGTAACTTACAGCAAAGAAGCGGTTCGCAGGGGGTTCCCAATGCCCCTGATGCTTTCAGCGGCCTCGGACGTTCTTCGCAGCCACTTATTCACTGCCAGCAGCAGTTTGTGTTCAAATGATTTTCCTCTCCCGACAAGCAGCCATTATAAGGTGTATGGACGATATATCTCTGTCCTTTTCGGCTCCAGTAGTTTCTGGGTGGTCTGACTGACGGCAAAGGTGACAGTGAATGTGGATCTCTGAGTCAACCAAGAGAGGTAACAATAAAACTAGTACGGCTCAAATAGTGTGCGGATTCCAGATGCTTTAGCCTTGCCGGGGGCGGAGCTCGGTGGAATCACGGTCAACTTTCAGCAGGCATTAAGCTTGATGACCACGGTCTGACCTGTTAGATTGCATGACATTATAATCAATTGTCATCATGCACAGCTCCCGCCTCCCCCGCCCCCTCATGAACCCGTGAATTCGTGACATCTCCAACTTGCATGGTGCAAGTCTTTTAGGATAGGAAGCGTTTAGAACGTGCAATTCGAGGCTACCTAGGGAGACTAACTACACCCATCCTGATCACCGAGTATCCTAGCATTGCATGTTTTTCCAATTGAGGCACTGTACAGTACTGTGGCCCAGATGACTTGCACAAGCGGGCGATATTGATCTAAATGCTCTCGTCAATGAGTATATATGTAGAGCAGTTCAGCGCATGCTTGATTTCCCCCATTTAGGGGAAGCTCTATGTACACTTACTGGGCCATTCCCACCATCCTAACTAAGAGTGATGCAGATCTTTCCAATGCCCTCACCCAAGGCGAGCTCCTTATACGCAGCCACAACCTCCTCGCGCGTGAACCTGAACACCTTCTCGACCGGGAGCTGCAACCTGACTCGATCAACAAAGGTGACCAGGTCCTCCAGCATATACTTGGGGCCGATGAGGATACCGCGCACGACTGCCGCTTTACCGAGCGCCAGCAGGGGCACGTTGGGCATCTTGGCCGCATCGTACTGGGCCAGATAGCCGATGACGCTAATCACGCCCCCATACGCAATCGCCCGGAGAGTCTGCTCGATGGTGCCGACGCCGCCGATCTTGATAATGTGGTCGATTCCCTGCTCGCCCACCAGCTCGAGGGCCCGGTCCGCCCATGCTGGGTATGCTGGGTATTCCGTATAATTGATGCAGTGGTCCGGAGAGTACTTGGCCTTGACCGCGGCGAGCTTCGCGTCGCTCGAGGAGGTGACGATCGTGGTTGCGCCGGCAGCCTTGGCGATCGCCAACGCGGTCAGTGCGACGCCTCCGGTGCCTATACGTTGAGTGGGCCTTGTGAGTAGGTGTCCGCAATGAGGGTTTAATGGATAAGGAAATGGAAGCAAAGCGCAAGGGAAAAGCTCACCCTGCACCAGCACATTTTGCCCCGGCTTTGGCGGCACATTACCAAATAATCCATTCCACGCGGTGACGCCGGCGCACACCAGCGAAGCAAGCTCCGCATAACTCTGGCGTGCGCTGGTAGGAACTTTGACGACACTGGCGGCGGGGCGCACCACATACTCGGCCAAGGGACCGTCGATATACCCGCCCTGGCAGGTCAGCCAGCTCTTCTGCGCCCCATAGAAGTATCTCGTGTTGAAGCTGATGGCCACGCGGTCGCCCTGAGTCAGATTGCCCACTCCTTCGCCAACAGCGACGATATCGCCTGCCCCGTCCGAGCAAGGGATCAGGTTGTCCGTCACGGGGAACGGGTACTGTCCCGTCGCTACCTGCAGGTCTCGTGAGTTCAGAGCGACCGCGCGGATCTTGATGGGGACATCATGGCGGCCGACCTCCGGGGTAGCTTCTTCGCATTCAACCAGATCGTCGAACGAGGTGCGTTTGGGGAAGCGGAAGACTCTGTGGCGCCGCTGTTGATCGTGAGGCACTGTGAGGTTGCTGGGGGTGACTGGTTGCAAGCAGGGATCTTGTGGATCAGAGGCGAGGGTTGTTGCTGGTTGAACTGTTTGACGCAGACTGAGGTGGGATTGACTGGAGTCAGGGAATTGGATTCAGGACAGATGAACCAACTGCAAAAAAGATAGTTGAGTGCTAGATAGTCCTACTACTCCACCATCTATCGATGATAAATCGGGGTCGAAGGAGTTGACTACCAACACTACCTATTATTTTCTCCACTCGCCGTCCACGTAGGGCTGACTGCCCGGTTTGGGAGACGGGGTTGGAGGTGGAGAGGGTCTTCCTGGTGTATTCCATGGCCAACCCGCCTCCGTCTTGTAGCTATCAAGATTGCTGATAAGGAAGGAACCCCCTTCACTTGAATCGTGCAGTGCGTTCTGTTGGCCCTCGCTTGAGGAAGATGATCCCGAGGGGGGGGGGAGGGGGGGGTGCGTAGCTGAATTCATGATGGATGTAATCTAGCTATCATTCTGCCATACTAACACCATCCTCCTTCCGTGCGTTGAATCGTGTTAATCATACACACGCCACCTCGTCACAGAGGATTGACAAGACCTGCTTGGCATTTCGGAGATGCTTGGGGGTGCTTTGGAGGTTCAGTGGAGATGCTGAAGGGAGAAGTGGGCCTATTGCGAGCACCTCCAACTGCACCTCCAGCTTGCCAAGCCCTGGAAGAGAAATGGCAAGACAAAGCTGTCTGTGTTCTGCTGCTGCCTTGGTATCGAGCGGAAGCAAATACATATGCCCTCCC